AGTGTATTGATGATCGTGATCACCTGCATTCACGGTGTGATCAGTTGCCCAATATATTCATCATCTCAGCCCAGTTTTGGCTGTTTTGTATATAGACGTTCTGGTGAGTTTTTTAAACCTTACTACAACATTAATATAGATGAATTACTAAAGCCTTACCTTTGAAAGCAAAAGATGGATCTTCCTGTTCGAACTGCAGGTTGTAAGGCTACAGATGTACTTTGCAGAAACCAATCTTTTTAAAGTGTTTAATAGACTTCCGTCAAAACTAACCAACAAAATGCAGTATCAGAGACAGCTTTGATGCGATGTGCATGCGATGGCTCAAGCTCTATCTATGGTGCAACTATCACAAAACACTACTTTTATGCTAAATTCTTCCTTTAGAAATATATTTCTATTTTTGGCAGTGATTGACTGATCACGTGTTATTTTGTAATACCCAGTTGTAGATTATGACAAGTAATACCCAGTTTTAGAACTGAGTCATCGTGATTATATGTGGAATTTCATTTTCGTTTTTTAATACCCAGTTGTAGATTATGACAAGTAATACCCAGTTTTAGAACTGAGTCATCGTGATTATATGTGGAATTTCATTTTCGTTTTTTAATACCCAGTTGTAGATTATGACAAGTAATACCCAGTTTTAGAACTGAGTCATCCTGATTATAAGTGGAATTTCATTTTCGTTTTTTGTACAATATGCTAATTGGCTCGTTGCAGGGCTTATGTCAGGTTGTGCAATCAAGAATGTTTACCCAATCTCCTGACGTAGGTCTATAAACAGCCCGACCTTGAATGTGTTGACTGAGGCTCTATAGAATTTGTCATAACAGCGCGACCTGCATTGTTATGACAGCCTGACTTTAAAACACGAGGGAAAACTGAGGTCACTTAAGAGTCAAGGCAAATATAGACTCGCGCACCAGCCGCTGTGAGTCTGTGTTGTGATCTCCAAGGGGGCGACTGTAAATATGAAGGGCCTGGCCTTATTCCGAGACTGAGACATTGGGGCTGAGATATCGGGAGGGGCGGGTGGGGTGGGGGCGTGGCCAGAGGGTGGGGGAAAGGGGGAGGGATAAAGTCTGGTACCTGCCCCTCTCCCCACTGGCCCTGTACTACCCCCAGACCTATGGCAAAGTCTGGTATCCGCCCTTCTCCCCTACTTACTTCGGAAAGATTCCCATATCTGGCCATTACTTTTCATCCTGTGCACAAACCGTATGAGACTAGCTTGAGTAGCTCCAGCTGACATGTTCCATATTCATTCACATGTAATACTCAAGCTAGAAGTATGAGACTGGTCTGAAAATTTGTAAGTGTTTTCTCAGTAAAAAAACTTCAATGTTTTCCCTGCAAAATAGAATTTCACTTTCTAGAAATGCAGTGGCTACGTTACGGCAGCTGTAACGCATTTCCCATTTTCTATCGTTATGGTACTGCAACTGTGCAAGCGCAATGACATGGCCGATCGAACCAAGAACCTGGCGCTTCCTGCGTCGGGCGTCGCGGGGGCCGGGGATCTGTGCGCCCGGCCGCGGGGCATACACCACAGGTGGCCATGCAATACGTACGTCTGGACAGTGTCAGGTCAACTCGCCCCCTGGCCGACTCGCCCCTTACCGACTCGCCCCTTACCGACTCGCCCCCTGACCGACTCGCCCCTTACAAGCTCGCCCCCTGGCCGACTCGCCCCCTAGCCGACTCGCCCCCCGGCCAACTCCCCTCCTAGGCCCCATGGACTCTCCGGAACGATGATAGACCGTCCGCTACGCTGCATTTGTACCAGAAATCCTTCAAATTGGTGTTCGAATAATGTTACAATGTACGTGTTCCCCTCCACTGTCTTTTATTTTAAATTTTTTTTTCACAATGTCCCCGTACGGTGCATCTTTTTCCAGGGGGTGAGTCGGTCAGGAGGCGAGTCAGTCAGGGGGCGAGTCGGCTAGGAGGGGAGTTGGCCAGGGGGCGAGTCGGCTAGGGGGTGAGTCGGCCAGGGGGCGAGTCGGCTAGGGGGTGAGTCGGCCAGGGGGCGAGCTTGTACGGGGCGAGTCGGTCAGGGGGCGAGTCGGTCACAGGGCGAGTCGGTAAGGGGGGAGTTGGTAAGAGGCGAGTTGGCAAGGGGGCGAGTTGACCTGCAATCATGTACAGTACAGGCCGCTGATTCTGGCGTCTCGGTCGAGGTCGGACGAGTGCCCAAGAGACATGGAGAATTCTGTCGTGGTGGGCGCAGAATTTGCCTCTTTTGAGGCACTGTCCCAGTCAGTATCAGAGTGGGAAAAGGCCACATATACCTCCCTGTATGTAAGAAGCTCCCACACGGTGAAGTTAGGGTCCCTAACAAAGTCGTCAGCGACGCCTTGAAAAGAATATGCATTACATGTGAAACTAGAAATGGAAAGAGTACCATATCCGGCCATCACTTAGACCTCGTCCACAAAGTCAATGGGCCATGACAGAAAAAGTCAAGGTATTTCCCCCCCCCCCAAAAAAAAAAAACCAAGAGAAAGTCAACAAATATTGGGAAGAGGGTTTAAAAGTCTATATAAAAAATGACTTTTTGGTTCCTTGGGCATTTTTTTTTTCTCTAGAATGTCAACGTTGTAAGATCTTGGATTTTTTTCAAGCAGTGGCAACACTGCCGTTGACAATATAGAAATCATCATGCCGGCCGGCTGCATCGCCAGGTTCGTGGTTCGATCGGCCATGTCATCTCGCTTGCGCAGTGCCGTAACTATAGAAAATAGGAAATGGGTTACGGCCGGTCGGAAACGTCAGCTTCGTGGTTCGATCTGACATGTCATTGCGCTTGCGCAATTGCAGTGCCGTAACGATAGAAAATGGGAAATGCATTACGGGCTGCCATAACGATAGCCACTGCGTTTTAGAAAATATAGGGCCGAGCTAGTAGTAGGCCTATAATCACTTTCTGATGGCTGATATTACCAGTGATACATGTAGGTTATGCGCCTATCAAATGTTCCTCTTCCCCCCCCCCCCCCCCATTTCATGCCCCAGCCCATGCAGGGTGGTAAATATGGTAACACAAATTACATTGTTGTGTGTACCATTGGCATTGGCATACTACCATGACTACATGTACATGGAAATGCAATTAATACTAGTATGTACATGTACGTCGGGGATTGTCACTTACATTTTGCCCAAAGGGTGGGGATTTTGCTTCAAAAATGACTATCCCCATGTCTTGGGTGGGGCAGCCGGGGGGGGGGGGGGGTATTAGTTAAGGGAAGAATTCTTAGTGATGGCCAGATATGGGAATCTTCCCAATACTTCAGTATATGCCCTGCTAAATTTGATTTTTTAGGATATTCGGCTGAATAAATAAAAACAACATGTTTCTTGTCCGTTTTTTTGGGAAAAAAAGGAGGAAGAGGGGCTTTTTATTTTTAATTTTTTTTCAAGATGGCCGCCATTTAAAAAATTCATGCAACCTTTGGTGTTTCCTCTGCTCGCATGGGTATAGACTCTCAAGAAGACGTCTTTAGGCCAAAAAAAAAAAGTCTCCGGTTTCTGGTATGCGCACACGTCGCCGTAGCCATGCGCGTCGGCAAAATGAAAAAGTTTTTTTGGTCAATAAAAGATGATGTCTCAAAACCGCCAAACTCACTGGTTTGATTGGAATCCTGCTGCTGCACAATTGTAACGTGTTTTTAGATGGGGTTATGATCGAGAATAAGCTTTATGTGGCCTCTCCGCACTCCCATATATTTGCACTAAGTTTAGTCGTGCACCATTTGCAGTCATCAGCCGACATTTGAAGCAAAAAAGACAGGTAAAAAAACAAACAAAATGCGTCGCCGCACCACGTTTTGGGGAAGCTCCATACCAGAAACCGGAGAATTTTTTTTTTTGGCCTTAGCGACCGTGCGTTGATTTATGTGGTGTACAAAGTGACCGACAGAGTCTATACTGAAAACTTTGACTCACATTTTTTCAAGTATTTCTTTTCTGATGAATTTGTGGACTTTTTCGGTGTTTTTTACAGCATTTTTCAAATCAAATTTTTTTTTTTTTTTTAATCCAGGCGGCCTCCAAAAAGGAAGCCGGCGAGGACGAGAAACGTGTTTTTTTTACTTCGCCTTATCACTTTCTGATGGCGATAGGTCACTGAAGGGAAACATTGTAGATGACCAGATACGGGAATCTTTCTTGAGAATTTACACTGAGCAACTTCAAGTCTTCAATTGGTCTTTCTGTAGTGTCAAGTTTGTGAAAACCTTTAATACACTTACAGTTCTGGAAGAATGTTGCAACCTGACACTGCTTCTAATTTCTTCATAATCCCAATGAAGGTCAGTCATTACAAAAAAAGATGATAAGACACAAATCTGGGACTGGGAAAGATGGTTCTCTGAGTTAGAGCAGTCAGCACGGAGCTATAAACATGATAAAACACATAGGCCTAGCGCTCAGAGCATCCCAGCACAACCCGTGCACTGATTGTAGGGGTTTGTTTCATTGCAACACAGCACAAACACTAGGCCTAGAGCACTGATCATAGAGATTCTCTTGGAACATCACTACGATCAGTGTACTGATTACAAAGAGTTCACTAACATGTGTAATAGTTTAATTTAATTTATTTTTAAGTTTCAATCTTTTAACATCGTCTTAAATGTTACAATCTAAAATGTAAAGCAGGGGCTGTTACAGAATGAACAAAAGCATAAAAATTGTCATCAGATGATGTGTTCATGATTCATTCATACCCCTGATTACAGTTAACTTAAAACTACTCAGCATCCCAGCTACTTGTGCACCATTGATAGCATACATTGTAGGCCATGCATAAGCAGGGTCCAAGTTACTCGGACTACTCTTTACTCTTCAGCTAACAAAATTCTCCACAGTTTTCATGCTTGAACTTATCGCATAAGCATGAGACAGTTTGCATGACGAGAAATATCGGAATGAGCTATATTTGATCTTTTCATGTGAGGTGATTAACGCCAGGTCTTCATTTCAATTAACAGTTTGATCAAGCATGACAAGCAGTTGCAGAAAAGACAGAGTACATGTAGACCAGCAGCATCAGACAACCAAATCAGCCACTGAGTCTAGCATGGGAGCCCCTAGTCAACTACTTCCGCTTCATCTCAAGAGATCTCGTCACTCACTCCTCCTCACCTTAGCTGCTCTACTACTGTTCTTTCTGTGGCTGAGATGCAGATATTATTCAGCTCACTCAGGATGGTCATTCAGACAGTTAGATGTAACAGACCATGGAGAAGTCAATAAGAACTTAACGTTGGTGATACTGTCACCACAGTTAGCTGACATTGAGGGGGCATATTGTCTGGACGGAAGCCCGCCGTCGTACTACATTCGCAAAGGTAAAGGATTTTGTGCAGGCTCATTTTTGCACGAAATACATATAGAACAACATTAAATGCAAACATTTAACTACAAAACTATCAAATTATTATGAAAAATCTTGCTTGATTTTACATACGTACCGGTACCTGAATAATAGTCTCAAGCATCCTGTGAAATCATGGCACCTCCTGTCACTGTTAATATCAATAAATGTTTTTGTGTTGAATTCCAACGATTTTATTGAAAATACTGCCCCAAGTTTACCAAATATAGTTGAGTTTGCAATCAGTTACACATCCCGTTGACAGCTGCAAGCCAGCTAGTCTGGCTCCTTGACATTACAATTTCCTGACGTCTTAAATTGCCTGTTTTGTAAGAAGAAGGGTCAGGGAACCAAACTACAAGAACAACATTTTTTTGGCTTGTTTTGTTTATAGCATCTAGAGACACAAAACTTTGAACAGGCCATTGTACATGCATGACATACACAATTTGCATTAACCCTAACCTCCCCCAATCCAATGGAATAATGTACTAAATATAAATGGATTAAAAAGACAAAGATTTGCAAAATTTTGAAAATGTATTATACGTAATAAAACTCACTCACACTCACTGCTGCACTTGACCATCAGTGGGTAGTAGTGGGTCAAGGGCAAGGGACCAGCACTCGGTTGGTGACAGCTGCACAGCAACCTGCTTAAGCCAGGTAAGCCGGGGACGACCACGAGGTGGAACTGGACGGCAGCATCAAGGGCAAAACGAGCATTGGCAGGAGCTTGGAGGTGCCTAACATGACCACAAGGGATGTGTCGCCTCTCCGAGATCTCTGACAGAACGCTGCCAAGTCTCGTACACTGAAGTCAAAATGTTGCAACTATCCTAAGCCCGGTTCATACTTCATGCGAATGCGAAGCAAATTTGACATCACAAAGCATTCGCAGTGGAATTCGCCGTAGTTGAAACTCGCGTTTGCGTTTACGCCAATTATGAACCAGCCTTAAGGAGAAAGCTGCATGTATAACACTTTGTACCATCCATGAATCATTTCAATTGTCCTCGTTTCATTTTTCCCCTGACCTCAAGGTGCCTCTACACAGCGGTCTTGGATTGTCGTCCTACAAGGTGGAGGATGGTGCTGGAATGTCTCAGATTGTTACAACCGTAGCCTGTCGGGTCTAGGATCATCTTACCGACTGCCAAAGGAGGCATCGTTTGATGGGATAATGTCAGCCAATGCCTCTGTCAATCCTGAATTCTATGACTGGAATATGATCATGATCAACTACTGCGATGGTGCATCATTCTCAGGTACAGGGACCAAATTTTAAACATTACCTTGCAATTTGATGCTTTTTCATCAGGTTCAATTGCAAATTGCAAAAATCACCCTCAGAACCAGTCACATTCTGTAAATATTTCATGATAATTTTGCATCATGTATAACCTGTTCCTACAGGTACTATTAAAGCAGATACTTTAAAAACTATATTAATTTGTTTTTATCCCCCTGCATGCCCTGGCGAATGTAAGCCAGTGGAGGGTATATATTGCAATCCTTTTCCTTCTGTGTGTATGTACAGTGTATGTCTGTCTGTGTGTTGATGTTTTGGTTTGGTTAACTCTTGTCAGAAATGTGGGTTGTTCTTGGTGGCCTTTTTTGGGGCCGACAGGTCAAAGGTCAAGGTCCCTGTTGCTAAAACAATATAAATCTTGTGTATAAGTTGACAAATATTTTACTTAGGAACTTGATTTGGTTAGCGGGTTGTTCTTAATAGTCTTAAGAAACCTTTGCATTTGGGTCGACAGGTCAAAGGTCAAGGTCACTATTGCTAAAACAATAGAAACATTGTCAGCACATGATAACTTGGCAAATGGAATGACCTTGGTAGTCTTAAGAGGCTTATTTATTTGGGGCCGACAGGTGAAAGGTCAAGGTCACTGTTGCTAAAACAATAGAAATCTCCCATTTTGATAATGGACTCTGACAAGTATTCATACTGTCTGACTGTAAAAAAACTGCCAGCATGCCAGGGGATCGTGCATTAGTCTCACTTGATGATTCCAAACGGGCCCAGGACATTAGGGTTAAGAAGAGGCATGAAGATTGACCAGTATTTCATCCATTTCTGTCAATATAGTGGCTCACTTTCTAAAGTATGTATTTTTTAAGGAATGTGTAATTTTCTAACAACAGAAAGTTCTTCTTGCAAAGATTCACAGATTTTTTAAAGACAAATTTAAGTGTTTAATCTCTCTTAAAGTTAAATGAAGTACCTGGTACATCTTGCCACATTTGAACTGTGATGTTCATTATCTAAAACTTTTTTCTTTCTTTCTTTTTATGTTTGATCTTCAGGCAATTTGGAAAAGCCTGTTATGTACAACAGCACCAACATGTACTTCCGAGGTTACCGTGTGCTGAACTTGGTCATGGTTTACTTATTAAAGAAGACTGGCTTGAAAGAAGCTGAACGGATTATACTGGGTGGGTTGTCTGGTGAGTAACTGCTTATTTGCAGATGTTTTCTTCATTATTTAGTGGAGTGCTGTCGTCTAATGGTAGAGTGTACGACTCAAGTGCCGTGGTATGGATTTGAACAATGACAGGAACATAGTGTGTGTGTTCTTTGGCAAGATACTTTACTATAATTGCCTCTCTCCACCCAGGAGTATTAATGGGTATCTGTGAATGTAGAGACCAGATTGGGCTGATCTTGAGCTGCTGCTAAAACTGGTCTTATTGCCTGATGAACTTATTTGAGGCCATTGGAATAAAGCGCTACATTTATGCATCAGCACCACATAAGCCCACAACATGTATGTCCTTCTGACAAATGATTTTGAGGGATTCTTTCATTTATATGTTCCCCATTCTCTAAATTTTGTTTGTTTTAAGCTCGAAGAATTTGCCGTGGGTTACTTCACCTGTGACTGTTGTGGTTTGTACCTAGACTGTCATTCTCCAGTATTTCCAAGTAAATCTCAATTGGGGGGGGGGGGGGGACCTCATTTCAGGGAAACAAAAAGTGCTAAGGTAGCAATTAAGCCAATTCCTAGACACAACAAAATAGTATTCAATATTTCATTGAATTGTCTGTCTTCCCCCACTCTTGGTTACTTTCTGCACCTCAGCTGGTGGCTTGGCTGCTTCTCTACACATTGACTTCATCCGTAGCCTAGTCCCTCCTGATATCCCACTGCATGGTATCATTGACGCAGGCTTCTTCTTAGATGAGAGGAACATCTCTGGATATGAACACTACGCATTTCACATGAAGAAGATTTACAACATGCAGAATGCATCAGGTGAGCATCATCAGGTCATGTGATCAAGCATCAGACCATGTGACATACTCTTCCAGGAAAGAATGTTACATTGTGACGCCACTTCATTAAAAAACTGTTGAAAAACTGTTAAAAAGACATGAAACTGGGATTGAGAAACATTTCCAATCTTGTTAAGGAAGTACACTGTACATTGTACTTTGTCAAATGTTCTTGACTCTCCATAGAGTTTGTACACAACCGCTGAAATGGCATCTGGATACTACATTTGTTTCCACTGTCACTACATGATGACCGTATTTCACTTTGACCCTCTCGTTACTTGGTTTTGTATTTCTCTTTCTAAATGGTCGTTTCAACACATTCATCATCAGCCATCCACACGTTAACCGTCGGCCAAATATCCTTTCTGCCCGCTAATTCGTTAGCTGTGTGCAGTGCAAAAATACAGCGCGAACATTAACATTGAACTCATGAGGCCACTATTTTGTATTTGCAAATCAACTGGACCCGGACCAATGCCTTGGTCATGTTGGTCAAACCATCCACGTGAGATTTTGGGGGCGCCTACCTGCCAACATTATTGAATTTGGCGGAATCAGTAGGAAAATATGAGCTGTATTCCGAATTATGAATTTATCGCCCTATATTACGAATGTCCGCAAAATCGTTTACATTATTAATTAAAAGCCCTGATTTTATGACCAAAATGCTCAAAAATCGGTTAGATATAAGCCGTGACTGAATTATTGGCCATGGCTTGAAATTGGACACTAGTCTATGAGAATTGGCTGCAGCCGCTATCATAGACTTGTCTGTAATATCAAGCAGTAGCCAAGTGATTGGCTTGAAGTTGCACACTAGTCTATGGGAATTGGCTGCAGCCGCTATCATAGACTTGTCTGTAATATCAAGCAGTAGCCAAGTGATTGGCTTGAAGTGGCACACTAGTCTATGGGAATTGGCTGCAGCCGCTAGCATAGACTTGTCTGTAATATCAAGCAGTAGCCAAGTGATTGGCTTGAAGTGGCACACTAGTCTATGGGAATTGGCTGCAGCCGCTAGCATAGACTCGTCTGTAATATCAAGCAGTAGCCAAGTGATTGGCTTGAAGTTGCACACTAATCTATGGGAATTGGCTGCAGCCGCTATCATAGACTTGTCTGTAATATCAAGCAGTAGCCAAGTGATTGGCTTGAAGTTGCACACTAGTCTATGGGAATTGGCTGCAGCCGCTAGCATAGACTCGTCTGTAATATCAAGCAGTAGCCAAGTGATTGGCTTGAAGTGGCACACTAGTCTATGGGAATTGGCTGCAGCCGCTAGCATAGACTCGTCTGTAATATCAAGCAGTAGCCAAGTGATTGGCTTGAAGTTGCACACTAGTCTATGGGAATTGGCTGCAGCCGCTAGCATAGACTCGTCTGTAATATCAAGCAGTAGCCAAGTGATTGGCTTGAAGTTTCACACTAATCTATGGGAATTGGCTGCAGCCGCTAGCATAGACTCGTCTGTAATATCAAGCAGTAGCCAAGTGATTGGCTTGAAGTTGCACACTAATCTATGGGAATTGGCTGCAGCCGCTAGCATAGACTCATCTGTAATATCAAGCAGTAGCCAAGTGATTGGCTTGAAGTTGCACACTAGTCTATGGGAATTGGCTGCAGCCGCTAGCATAGACTCGTCTGTAATATCAAGCAGGAGCCAAGTGATTGGCTTGAAGTTGCACACTAGTCTATGGGAATTGGCTGCAGCCGCTAGCATAGACTCGTCTGTAATATCAAGCAGTAGCCAAGTGATTGGCTTGAAGTTGCACACTAGTCTATGGGAATTGGCTGCAGCCGCTAGCATAGACTCGTCTGTAATATCAAGCAGTAGCCAAGTGATTGGCTTGAAGTTGCACACTAGTCTATGGGAATTGGCTGCAGCCGCTAGCATAGACTCGTCTGTAATATCAAGCAGTAGCCAAGTGATTGGCTTGAAGTTGCACACTAATCTATGGGAATTGGCTGCAGCCGCTAGCATAGACTCGTCTGTAATATCAAGCAGTAGCCAAGTGATTGGCTTGAAGTTGCACACTAGTCTATGGGAATTGGCTGCAGCCGCTAGCATAGACTCGTCTGTAATATCAAGCAGTAGCCAAGTGATTGGCTTGAAATTGCACACAAGTCTATAGGAATTGGCTGCAGCCGCTAGCATAGACTCGTCTGTAATATCAAGCAGTAGCCAAGTGATTGGCTTGAAGTTGCACACTAGTCTATGGGAATTGGCTGCAGCCGCTAGCATAGACTCGTCTGTAATATCAAGCAGTAGCCAAGTGATTGGCTTGAAGTTGCACACTAGTCTATGGGAATTGGCTGCAGCCGCTAGCATAGACTCGTCTGTAATATCAAGCAGTAGCCAAGTGATTGGCTTGAAATTGCACACTAGTCTATGGGAATTGGCTGCAGCCGCTAGCATAGACTCGTCTGTAATATCAAGCAGTAGCCAAGTGATTGGCTTGAAGTTGCACACTAGTCTATGGGAATTGGCTGCAGCCGCTAGCATAGACTCGTCTGTAATATCAAGCAGTAGCCAAGTGATTGGCTTGAAATTGCACACAAGTCTATAGGAATTGGCTGCAGCCGCTAGCATAGACTCGTCTGTAATATCAAGCAGCAGCCAAGTGATTGGCCTGAAATTGCACACAAGTCTATAGGAATTGGCTGCAGCCGCTAGCATAGACTCGTCTGTAATATCAAGCAGTAGCAAAGTGATTGGCTTGAAGTTGCACACTAGTCTATGGGAATTGGCTGCAGCCGCTAGCATAGACTCGTCTGTAATATCAAGCAGTAGCCAAGTGATTCTGACATCGATGTTACAGCCGGGCACCAGCCAGTTCATGTAATACAGATGTGCAAACGACTTGGAACCAGCATACACGTGTGTATCATACACTAATTGTTTTAAGATGGCGCCCAAAAGATTGCCATGCGAGTCCAAAGTTTTCATCATGTTTGTAGTATTCACGGGAACATTTTTCGAGCTTTATGTGACATCAAGTCTTCCAAGGTAACAGAAGGACAATTTTATAGTGACATTGTGACAAGTATTGAAAAGAGTTTGGGTTAACCACAATGCCCAGAAATGATATAACAGCATGTGTTTTGCAAGGTACATGTATGTCTGTGGGATATTTATATCGCGTACGGTGGCCTATAATGTTAATGTGAGTAAAAACATACAAACTTGAGACTCCACATCAGTAGCATGCATCTCAGAAAAAAACTCACATGTTATTATCATTATTTTTGTTTCAACAAACGAATATAGACAGTAACCAATAAATTAATTCATAAAAAATTAAATTACTTTCTTTTCCCTTGAAATATCCTACAGTAGGGCCTTCGTGGATGGTTGGCACATGGCATTTGTGTGGGTCCAGTTGATTTGCATATTATGGTGGCCGCATGAGGGCACTATTCCCGCTGTATGTTTGCGCTGCATACGTATAGCGAGGATAACCGGTTGAGTCATAAAAATCCTATAGCATGTTTCCTTTAATTATAATCTTTTTTTTTTAAATTCAACAGGTAGTTTAAACAAAGCCTGCCTGGCAGCCATGAGTCCCCAGGACAAGTGGAAGTGCTTCTTTGCTGAGTACACCTACCCTTACATCAGCACCCCCCTCTTCATTATTAACTCCGCCTACGATTACTGGCAGCAGTGGTTTATACTGGATCTCCGATGTCACCCAATTGAATGTCCAGATAAATTGAAGTATCTAACAAGGCACTACACCATTTTCATTCATGAAATCAATCAAGTTTATCATCATCCAGGCGATGGAATGTTTATCAGCTCATGTTATGCACATACCCAAGCTGTCCTAGACAAAACATGGTCAACGTACGCAGTTGGTGGCAAGTCAACAAGAGAGGCGTTTAGTGACTGGTACTTTGCACGGACCACACCAGCCGAGTCAAGATACGTTGATTGCTACACCAATTATGATTGTAATCCGTCTTGTAAAGAGAGTTGGACATTGGCCTTTTACAAGAACAAGACAGATCACATGAAAAACTCTACACCCGACTTCTGAGACTTCTGACATGGGATCCTCAAAGGGAAGTGCGGTACATTCATGTTTGTACTTGATATCGTTTTTAGGGAGAGCCACCAGATAGTGATTAAGTTCACTTTTGGCGATCCTTCAGGGGTGTTATCAATATTGTTTTGGGTTTTTTATGCCCCGTGGCGAAGCCGAAGGGGCATACTGTTTCCGCCTTGTCCTTCCGTGGGTGGGCGGGTGGGTGGGTGTGTGTGTAAACACGGGCAATCGTGGACTATAGGGACAAAAGGGTTAGGGCACAAAAAAAGGATCCACGATTGACTGAATGACCACGATTGAAAATCGTGTACAAAACCAATGAGAGCTGTTGCTTAAAAGTTCAAACAAAGGAAACAAACAAAGGAAAGAGGATTAGGGACAATGGGGTGTCCATAGTTGCCGTTTACAAATGTGTGGGTGTGCGTGGGTGGGTGGATGTGTCCAGAACGATCTTGTCAGCGCAATAACATGAGAAATGCTTTACATATGAACTTCAAATTTTGCTTGTGGCTTGTTCTTGGCAATCCTAAGAAGCCTATTGCATTTAGGGCTAAAAGTTCAAGGGTCAAGGTCACATTGGCTAAAACAATAGAAATCTTATCAGCGCGATAACTTGAGAAATACAGTCAACTCGTTGGTACAAACTCTGTTAATACAAAATTCTGGTTATAACAAACATAAAGCCTTGGTCCCGACTGAGCACTTATGTGCACAATGAATGGGAATGAATGGGACTGATGTTCCTCTTAATACAAAATTCTGATATAACAAACGATTTAGCTAGGTCCGAACGAGTTTGTTATAACGAGACTCGACTGTACTTAACACATATGACCTTCAATTTTTTTTGTGTGTGGATTGTTCTTGGTAATCCTAAGAAGCATATCACATTTGGGGCCGAAAGGTCAAGGGTCAAGTTCACAGTGGCAAAAACATGAAATTTTGTCAGCGCGATTACTTGAGAAATGCTTTACATGTGAACATTAAATTTGGTTTGTGGATTGTTCTTGGTCGTCCTAAGAAGCCTATTGCATTTGGGGCCGAAAAGTCGAGGGTCAAGGTCACAGTGGCTAAAACAATAGAAACAATAAATCATAGGGATAAATTCATGTCAAACCTACAGAAATCACTAATGATGTCAATGAGCGTTCCATGTGACCCAAGTAAATGTACATGTAAGTTGACGTTAAAAGAGCTGTTATATCATGGGAACAGTCACAGTTGCGGGGCATTTGTGTTGTAAGCACACCTGACTTGTTATTTTTTTTTCTTTTTACCTTAAATGTTTGTGTTGTATTTTATGACTGTGTGTGTTTAGTTGATTTACCCTAACATGGCACAGTCCCTAATGTAGCGCAGTTTGATTTATCACCTGTAGCGCCTAGTATAGAGCAAAACTTTTCACAGAAATTTCACAGAAAGTGAAATTTCATCAAGTTCAATACGCTCTCGTTATTATATCTCGAGTTAGAAGAACAATTTATTTCGGCATAATTTTCCGATTTTATTTGGAGGTGCACAGTAACATTGACAATATTGTAGCGCGCTCACTCAACGGCGCCTGCAGACAAACTGCCTAAAATATCCGACTACGCGCTGTACCCTACGCACGCGTCGTTGGGGAACCAGGCGAGCCAAAGTAAACTCACACCAGTCCACCAACTATTTGGGCACAATGTTTAGTCACCAGTCATAACTGGTGACTATAAACAGGAACTCAAATCAGTTAAAATTACCAATAAAAATAATCAGTTACAACGAACATTACAAATGTATTTAGTCTTTTTGAGAAACAGATGAAGTTTTTATTTATTTTATTGAACATCCACAACTGTAACATTTAACATGATTTAACATGGGACTGAAATATGGTACATTGCAATGAATGCCATGTTTAAACATTGTAAATACTTTATTTTTAATTAACTGAAATAGAAATTTTCCTTGTAATTATTTGCCATTTATTTTGATACAAAGATTCCAAACATAGTACATAATTATGTAAATGTAAATTTGTAGCTCAATTAGAAATAAACATGACATTTTACTGGACGTGTACAACAAGCCAGTTTTTCTATAATTCAGTTAATTCCGTATTATAAATTCAAGGGCTATCGTAGAATATTGATGAGTTTTCAAAGTACATGAATATGTACAAGTACCAATGTGTACATTGGTAATGCTTTTATCTGAAATATTATGAATGAAATACTGTACATATATATGAACCACATGGTACATATGTGTAAATTTCTAACATTTTAATATTACAAAACATTTGTAAAAGTTTAACGTGTGTTACAAATTAAATCTGTAAAAATGTTCAAATTGGGGGTACATGTGTGTAAATTTCTAACATTTTAGTATTTCAAAACATTTGTAAAAAACAAGTTTAACAGGTGTAACAAATTAAATCTGTAAAAATGTTCAAAAGGTAAATTTCATTTGTAAAGTTAATTTTATTTAATCAACAAGTCAGATATTATAAAAGGCACATTCCATTTCATCGTCACATCTTGCTGAAACTAGATCGATCCACTAAGCCTCATCCAATCACGTATGCCCAATCACAGCCTTGATTTTGTTGCGTGCAGCTGCGCAATAAACTTATTATCGATTTCACAAAACTCAATGTTTTAAATCTAAACATATTGGACAAAGAATTATGCAAGCTGTTTGTAAACAGTCATTGAATCATCTCGGCCTGTCATTTTAAAAGTAATTTCTTCCTTTTTGGTGCGGCAACTCTAAAATTTCTGCATGAGTAAAATAGTGATTAATACCTCAAACACGAAACTGTGAGTGTCTTGTATCAACCTTAGAAGTGCAATGACTCCATGACGATGACAATTTACCTCTAAAATAGGTCATATCAGTGGCTACGCCACAGATAATGCGCAAGTTACGCTGTAATTGTAAGTCGTGAACTTACACACTACGGGACTTTTGTGAAATGTGTTATAGGTGAAATGTTGGGCGGTGTGCATGTTGCACAACTTATGCAATAAGCCAATTCAGTATTCCAAAATAGTCTCGTGCACAGCAAGATTTGACAATATTTTTTTGGTATAACCATGGCAGATAACTGCACACAAGGCTATGGGGGATGTGAACCAAATATGCATTCTTTACAATTTTTTTGCAATAAAAAAGAGATAGACTTTTCGTCCGCACAAAAGTTTTGACACACAAGACACCTAAAAACTCTTTGCTTTCCTAAGGCTTTTTGCAAAATGTTATACTTCAGAACATAATGATCTCTTCAATTTTCCCGATACCATGCTATGCTTTTGCACGAATACAATAAAATCTTTATAATGAAATGAAATCCCGAAAGAAAACATGGCAAATCATGATGTACACATGCGCAGTTGCAATACTGAACTCGCTTATTATTGTGGCACAAGCAGAGTTCCGCCATTGCATTAAAGATTTGTGGAATTGGTTGTAGTCGTTTGATGCTGTCTTATGGTTGAGCCTTGCAGCATTGCCAGGTACCTGCAACATTCCACTCCTTGGTGCTGTTGTCAAACCAATGAACGCCAACTCCAGAAACTGATCAGCAAAGTCAAAATAAAGTGGATAAACAAATAGATGAGAAGGAAGCGAGCGTCACTGAATGAAATTATTCTTTCCATTGCACGAACGTGAAACATTCATCATATTTGTTTACATAACACCTAAATAAATCTTTGCCATCTGATTGGTTGACTTTTAATAACCAATTTATTGAAGTTAAAAACTGTTTAAAAGTTTGACAAGTTTATCATATTTAATTTATGCAAACTGTTCAACAGGTTGAGATTCATCATATTTTATCTCGATTTAAAACAGCGCCACCGCCCAGCAGCAGTGACATCGTGCAATGGAAATTCTATTCACTGTACAATTGAAGTTCTATTAACCATGCAATAGAACTTCCATTGCGCGTGCGCCATGTGTAAGCAGGAATAATTCAAACATGTGATCAACAATCCACCAATCAGATGACAGGATTTATTTAGGTGGTGTATAAAATTGAATGCAAAGTGTGACCTAGTTGAAAAGCAGGTGTTTTGGAACCTACCTCCCCATGTGTCATTCCAATAACCAGAAGCAAAGATAAATTGCCTGGGCTCCATCTCCATCAGAGTATCCCTGATCAGACTTGTGGAAGCAACAAACGTCTCTCCATTGAGTGCAGAATTCCAGACATCTGACGTGACAGCCAGCCATGATTCCCCGTAGTCATGACTTCGTAGGATAGCTAAGCCATGATGAGAGAGTGCGTATAGTGTGTTGGTAGTGGGATCTATGCCAAGGAGGTTGCCTACATTGGAATGTAATGCTGCAAGGACAAACAGGCGAAAAAGCAATCAGAACAGAAAATCTCTTCTACAAAACAGTAAGGTCTTGGCTCTCTATTGTGCCATCTTTTTGTTCCTGGTATTTTTTAGCCAGACTGTTTAGGAAACCATGTCTTTTGGCTAGAATGTTTGTTTTGGTGTAAACAAAAAACCTCTGCTTTAAAAAAAAACCTTTCATTCCAATGCAACAGCGTTGTTTCTAATTTTAACAAGTGGCGTTCTTGCTGGAAAATTCTGCGCACTAAAACCTTTGAGATAAAACTCTTGGATTCAGACTTTTTAATTTCCCCCGTGAAAGCTGACAGCTGAATCTCTTTAAAAATAAAACCATTACCTTCGACCTACCTCTCCATCTGGTCGTCACATACTTCCTCGCCATCTTCACACAACCACAAGCACAGGTACAAACATCAGTTGTTCTCTTCAAAACACAAGGCTGAATGTCATGGGTCCACTCCAAGTAAGAACAGCTCTGATTGGTCCAAAGCTCAGGAAGGGCGGAGCAATTACAAGTGCAGTTACAGGTGACATTCTCTGAACAGGTGGAATTGTCACAGATTTGTAGGCAGTCAGTGAATGAAGATATCTGATTGCAATGCTGCTGACATGTTGTGAGGTTAGTACGTTGAGGGAGAGCACATAGATCACTGCAGTTGGATTCACACCTGCCATTTGTGACAACTGAGCAGGTTGTGTTGCTAGTTGATACATTACCACTTCCACCTGCAGTTGATGAATTGCTTGCCAAATCACACCGGCTTGTCTGGTTCCTTCCACTACAGTACATTATGGTTTCGTTGCAATTATCATAGCACTCCTTATGCTCCACTGGTCTGAACTCCTCGCAAACATCTCGGCACGCTCCAGAACAGACATCAACGCAATATCCCAAGTTAGTCAGTGTTTCATTAAAACAAGAGCATCCTGGTCTACTGGAATTGGATGCTGTACAGTCTGATGTATCATTGTACGAGTCGTTACAAAAAGCACTGAAATTTGCACACTGAATTGCACACACTTGCGTAATGATACTGCAGTTCTGTAGGCAGCTCTGATAGTGAAGGTATAGTACATTACTTGAACAGTCTGGATATCTGTAATCTACGACGTGTGACTGATAAGTATCATTGAAGAATCCAGTTGCGTTGAGTTGATTGCTTGTACCGTTAGAATACGAGTAGGTATCATTCTCAGGATTGTCTACACTTCTCCTGTGCACATGATGAATGGCCTTCAAGAGTGGTAGACTATCATCTCTGGGTTGAGCAGCTGACCTCCGATTCACAAGATTGAAAACTTGATTGTAAATGCTACTCCCAGATCCAGCAAAGTTCTGTCTGTGATCAGTTACCAAACTTTTATCGCTTATTTGTGAAGACTTCCAGAATGGATTGACCTGAGTTGCCATGTAGGAAATTAGCATGGCCACGTTTGAAGCCAACATGTTATTGCGCAGTTCTTCAACAGATGGAGATTTGGTGCTAGATATTGACACAGCGACATCGACCATATGACTCCCTTTACTGGATGAAGTTTTCTTTAACACCACATTGGAGCTTTCTATGGTGTTTTCTTGATCTCGCATTCTCATGGGAGACTGTCTTGGAGTCAAGAGTTCCTTCCAGAACCTCTGCTTAATCTTTTCATGCAGGAACAGCTCATCAAAGTTGGGCATCTTTAAATGCTGTGGGGAGAATTCCAACTTCAAGAGGTCCAATGCAGGTACACTACGCCTCTTCCTTTGATGGTTTTCACATAAGCTCCAGTACTCTGTACAGTTATCCTGGAGGCTGCAACTATGAGAAATGAACTCCTGTAGGCACTGTCTTGTGCAATTTGAATCACTGCAATTCAAACCTTCATGGCACTCATAAGATGCATTACTCATGCAAACACTGTAACAGTTATGATAGGCAGTGCAGTTTGGATGAAATCCACTGAAATTCTTGACAGTTGCATTATCCCAGTTCATTTGAGTACCGACATCTGCCAGAGTGGTGCAGTTGATGTAGTCTGCCTCGCAAGTCGGTGCACACTCAGGGCACATCGTGCAATTTATGCAATTAGAACTACACGCTGCATCAAAGATGCTGCAGTTACTAGAGCAGTTACTTGGGAAGGCTGCAGTGAAGCAGTCTACAAAGCAGTAGTAATGGTCATTGATGCATTGAGCAGAACAGGTTGCATAGCATGCTGTGCCATTCTGACATATATGGCAGGTGTCTAGACATTCACGCATAGATCCATTACAGGAAGATTGGCAATGGTCAAAGACTTGATATGCCATGCAGAGGCTGTTGCATGATGAAGTCAGGTTCGTTGAATTGCTACATGAAACAGCAGTCTGACTGCCAGATTCATTGCCAATACTGCCATTACATGTGTTGGATTCAGATGAAGAATCTTTCATTACATTGTACTGTGAGACAGAGCAACCTTCTACTGTACAGTTCTCAAACTTGGATCTGTTGGGCCAACTGGATTCCACACAAATGGCATATGAAAGACTGCAGTTCAGAGGGCAACTGGTGCTGAAATTACCACTAGAAGTAGGGTTCGTTGAACACTCTTCGTGACAAGCTGCAAAAGCACTTTTGCAGGACTTGATTTCTTTTGGCAAGCAGTCTTGATGGCAATCCTGAGTAAGTAAGGAGCAGTTGTTGCTACAGCCCTCTGTACAGTCACAAATTGAGCAGTTGTGAAGGCAGGTGGATCTCACATCCTTACAGGTGGGTGGAAAGCAAACACCAAGGCACTGGGACTTCTGTCGATTGCAATCCAAGTGACAATCAGCTCTACATTCCAAGCAGGTGTGGCAACTATCAAGGCATGTGAGACTGGCATCCTGGCAAGATGAACTGCAATTATCAAACACTAGATTGTTGGCACAATCCAGGCTGCAGGCTCTGTAGTCCTTACCGCAACCCTGAGTGCAACCCAGCGACTGGTTGAGACTCTCAGATGAGGTCTGCATCACACACTGCATTGTGCAATTGTTGAATGTAGTCCCACAATCATGAGAACAGCTGCTGAAGGAATCTGGAAAGACAGGTCTGCAGTCTCTGACACAATGAGTTGCTGTCAGAGAGGAAGTTGTCGGTGAGGCTGTACCTGACGGGGAGGTTCCATTCTCAGAAACTGATTGAGTGGTAGGTAAAGTACTAGTGGCAGCTCCTCCAAGTGTAGAGTTTGGTGAGTCAGTTGATGGACCTTCTGTAGGAGCATTGGAAGTACTGTTGACAGTACTTGAATTCTTGGTCCAGTTGGCACACCCAGACAAGCATTCCTGGTAGCAACTCTCAAATGTCTTGTTCACTGTGGCATTGCTATAAACATAGGCAAAGTTGTGACACTGTGTTGAACAAAAGTCATTGAAGCCAGGTCCTTGAAAACACTGATCAGTGCAGGTCTTCTCAGAAAATGCGGCCACACAGGGATCCAGGCAATCAATGTTAGCTTCAGCACATCTTTCCAGACAAGTGTTGTTGAGGAAGGTCACTGTGTTGTACTCTGAGATATTGGATGGTCCTCCATCAGTTGTGTTAAGCAATCTAGTGATGTTGACTGTGAGATTGTACAAACACCCAGGAACACACACATCAAATGCCTCACTACAATTCTGTGCACAATCTATAACAGGACTGATTAGAGGCTCTGCACACATGTTGATACACCTGTTGGACTTGACTGAGCAATTTGAGTGGCAGTCTCCCAAGCAGACTGATTCACATCCCAAACACGTTGACCAACAAGTTGAATATTGACTGAAACAAGACTCATCGCATGGACACTGATCAACACAATTCCATAGTGTTTCATTACAGTCCGATCGGCAGTTGACTTTTTCCACTGTGCAGTTGACTGGAGTGGTGGGCATCACAGTACCGGATGGAACACCTACAGTCGAGTTCCTTGTGCAATTCAGCGATCCATTCACGCAGCTTGAACCGTTGAGCGTACGGTTACAGGTACCAGACTCGTTGAGACAAATGGTTCCATTGTCAGAAACCACGGTTCTATTGTTTGAAGCAGTCTGATTCTGTGACTCATCACCCATGGTGTCAGAAGTGGATTGAGTTGGTGTTGAATCGGGAACCCTTCTACCACAAGGTTGACAATCCTCATCACACATCTGATACTGAGACTCACACTTGGGCTGACAGTCAGTGGCAGGCACGATGCAGTCCAGCGTGCACCTGTCATACCAATCAGCACAGGTGAAAGTGCACCCTTGAAGACATTCCACATCCATGCCACAAGCATCAGAGCAATTCTCAAAGCAGCCTGCTCTCTGCACAGGGCATTTCAACAGACAGCATTTCTGGTCACAATGGTCAAAATTTGCGTCACAGTTTTCCATACAAGGGCCTAAGCAATTCAGGTCAGTGGACACATAGCAATACTCAACTGTGTTATTACCACAGTCAGATGCAAGACTTGTAGTTCCATTATGGTTTGTGCAATTGCTACCTGTGCAGTTGAATGATGAGCCAAAGTCAGTTGACGTACCATTTCCTGAAGTCTCAGTTGCATTAGAACAATTGCTTTTGCTAGTGATAACCTCACAGATCTCAGCTACGCAAGTTTGATTACAATTACTCTTACAATCCGATAGCTGAGCGATACAAGGTTGAGTGCACGGTACCTTGGGAGGATCACAGGTAACTCTACAAAGCTCCAAAGAGTTACTACATTCATCCAAGCATTCTGATACACAATCGTTGTCATCTTTGCATGAGTACAGGCATTTATCACCACACAGAGTACGGTTAAAGTCACACTTATCGTAACAGCATCCCTTAGAGCACCGGCTCTCCGCCCAAGCGCAATTCCAGTCACAGACCAATGTACAATTCAGATTCATCCCTGGATAATAGACTTCCATCTGCCCTTCACAGACCTCCTCACAAATACTCCTACACTCCGATCTTCCAGCAGTACAGTTATCATTGCATGTAACAGGAGGCTTGACACACTCCTCTGCACATGAATCATGGTGCAAGGAGCAATCAAGCGTACAATTTAAGTCAACAGAGCAGTTGTGGTGAACATCCAGTTCTGTGGGGCATTTCCTGCAGTCTAGCAGGCATTCATCATGCTGTGAGTTGCAGGTGTCAAGGCAGCAGTCCTGACTGCAGTTGGTGTAAACATTGCTGCATCTGGTCAGACACACCTGCAGTTGCTCATAGGAACACCAAGTACAATTGTAGCAAGACTCCTGGCATGCAGATTGATCCTGAAAGAAATGAGCAACATGAACAAGGAAGATCATTCATTCCATTTCTGTACATGTAGGTCCTACCTACTCCCTTTCCAAAATGAATTTATCCGTTACAATGGCAAGTTACTGAACAATCTGGAGTCCCCAAAAGGCAAAATCAAAGATTCAAATATGATCCATGCTACAAAGTTTCTATCAACATTTTGCAATGAATACAATAATGTGTGGTGTTTTTTCCATAACTAAACAACAAATACAAGCAACTTACCTCCAAGCAATCTGGGAGACAGCCACAGGAGCAATTCTCAGGTTTAGGTTCAAACTCTGAACAGTTGACACCTGACGGAAGATCCCAGAAATAGGTACAATTGCAGTAGTCAGCACACGTAGGCGGAGTCTCCACTCTGTAAGGTGGGAGGTTACCAGTCATAAAGCAACCACCCTTATAACTGTGGATGAAACCAATACAACAGGTTTACATGCGGGAAATCTTAGGTACAGTTGCAGTAGCCACCACACATAGGCGGAGTCTCCACTCCGTAAGGTGGGAGGTTACCAGTCATAATGCAACCACCCTTATAACTGTGGATGAAAACAATGCAACAGGTTCACATAATTATGAGGACAATCTTTGGTTATATTTCCAAACCTTGGCTTTGCCGCTAATTAAACCATCTATAACCACTGTACATGGTTAGTAAAAAAAAATAAACGGAGCCCAAATCCAAAGAAACATTTTTCATATTTAAAGAATGGATGTAGCACCAAAAATAATAATGAGTGGTAAGCCAATTAAATAAACTCCTTTCAGATGAAAAAAATTACTTCCAATTGCTCAATCCGTCAAAATTATATTACCATTTAAATGAAATGACTCTAAACTATGTTTCATTCAAAAAAGCGATTTCAAGAATTGTTTTAACAATTGTCTTCAAACATCACCAGTGCTAAAACCTCAATTTAAAAGTTAAACATATTGTGTTCCACAGTTGTGTTCCATTTTTTTTTACTCGCCATGCATTATGCCTCTGATCCATTCAGTTTTATACTTACACATGCTTAGTGTTGTTATAGAAGCATGCATACATGATGTTGTGGACCTCATCATACAGGGCATTGTAGGTAGACAACTTGAGATCTGTGGTGTGCAACAACAAAATTAATCCATAAACCTTGAAAGCTAAGGGCCAGGTATTGTATATAATTATTCAAATATAGTTTGGCAGTACAGGACAATGTGAACATGGTGACATTACCAGGAACTGTTGATCATATTGTGTGGCTTACTCAACAACAAAGACAATAAAACATGACGCTGTCCTACCTTCAAGCTCCGGTCTTCCTGTGTATGAAGTGGGAACTGCAACAATGAAAAGAAATATAAACACTGTGCTTACATAATAAGCATGGTAACATCAATTTCAAATAAAACACCACTTTTCTTTGGACAGGAAATCACTCCACTATGTGTATGTTCTATGTTGAACCTCAAAATCAAGTCTATGATGTTGCTTGTTTTAATGTTTCTTTTTACAAATGACCCACACAGCGCAAACAAGAGAGGGCGCTTTTTGACCATTTCGAGAGCCCTATGGATGGGACACACCATGTGTGCACCCATCTTCGCAAACATCTTGTTTGCACTAACTTTTTAGCAACAGCTCTTGTTGGTTTTGTACGCGAATTTTAATCATGGACGTTTGGTCAATCGCGGACGTATTGTTTGTGCCCTGACACTTTTGTCCTAAGTCCACAATTGCCAGGGTTTACGTACTCATACTGGTTTGTGCACGTATAGCGTGAAGTATGCATGACTAATTTTATGCTACATGTACACAGAACATGGCGTCTTTGCGTGAGTGCTAGACATTTTTGACAATGCATTCGAATGTCTTTCCCAGGGGTACTTGTGCAAGGAGCCAATTTGGAGCCTCAAAATCAAGTCTACGACGTTACTTGTTTTAACATTTGTTTTTAGTGACTTACCTTCAAAGCTGATCTTGGTTGGAATGACGTCGTGATAGTGAGTCACTACATTGTGTTTATACTCATCTTCATGGGGATTGTACAAATCCCATGAGAAGTAATAAGTCTCAGCCAATGCAACCATGTGATACTCTCCCTGTGCTAGCGCCCTCTCGGGGTCAAGCTTGACCAGGAAGTGAAATGATATCATGTCCGTGTTTCTCAAAGTAGGCACCTGGGAAGATAGATTCATTATCAGTGGTGTCAGGAGAATAAGAGTGAAAACACAAATGAGAAGGGAACCCTCTAGCAAAGCTCCATGGTTAACGCTAATGACTCTTGATTGAAGGGTCCTGGGTTCGAATCCAAGTACTTGCAATTTGCTATGTCTTCAATGTGCCCTACCTCAAATTCTAGGACTATAATTTTACCCCCAACTCATTCCGAGGATTTACATAAATAGAAGGGGGTGACATCATCATGTACTGCCTTAGGCGCACTTATGCACATAAGGATATCTGCAGTTATGTGGATAAATTGGTTTAATGATATGGTGGATTGTACCTTTCTACTTGATACTGATAATCAACTCACATAGAACTGAAATCCTTTTGTTGGGTCCGTTCTGAGCGCTTGCACTGGCTGCAGTTTGCTGTAATCATGTAGTGATGTCTGATGATTAGTCAAGTTGACATATTCAACGTAGGTTGGGAACATCCAGACAATGGAGACATCTCTAGCTGTCAGGGTGGACAGAGGGTTGTGGAAGACCTCGGTGTAGAACTCCAACACATCTCTGTTAACAAGTTGGACAAAATGAGATAGATAAAACCCAGGGCTTATATTCGGGTTTTTGCCCACGCCTGTACCAGGATTCCAACTCTCTCTTCTCCCAAAATTGTAACGGCGTAAAATTACTGGTTGAGTGCCCACAACCATCTGGAAGCATTAGTATCACTTGCTGAATGACTTGCTATGTTTACCTAAACCCTTCCCAAGTAGTCTCAACTACAGATGGGCAGGGGATGGATTTGCCATCTTATTGAAACTTGGCATGCTTATAAAGACATCCATTTTGAGTACAAAACAAGGGTTCATTGTTGCAGTTTGTAGTTGACACTCTGTCACATGTCAAGCATCTTCACTGAGCTTGGTCAATGGGAAATGAGAATGTTACGTCTGATTCGAATATAATTGGTTAGAATGACTGCAGGACACCAGCTGCAGAAAATATACTTAGGACAATCAAAAAATTGTGTTGCAACAACATCAGGGAAATGCCTTTTTAGGGTTAATAGTCTTCCTTCCTTTTGTCATTTAACCCTAAAGGGGCCGGGTTATTTTGACCATCTCTCAGCCGGGGGGGGGGGGGGGGGGGGGGGGGATTCGGCCCCCCCCTAAGATCTCGGCCATCGAGTGACGAAAAATTTTGAAACTCAATACATGCATAGAGCAACTCTTCCTTGACATACCCAAGAAATTTCATGATTATAGGTCAAAGGGTTTTGGAATTATGGCTAATTAATTATTCATATGTACGAATGGCAATTCTGCTCTGTGTACACGACGTATATGCGAAAATTCAGTTTTCACGGCGCATAGCGCTGGAAAATTTTTCGCTACGCGGCAACCCGTGGTCCGATTTTTATGTTTTTGGTATCAAAAGATGCGCAAAGCTTGAGGCTAAAAAGTCATAACAGCTTGGGTCGCGAAAAAATTTTTTTTAGAGGTTATCACGGAAAATGTCCCGCCCCCGGCCCTTTTAGGGTTAACTGCTTATAGGAAACACAGCCGGACATTCCCATTTCAACCTCTGAAAGTGACTGAAGTGATTGTAGTGCCACTTACCCAGGAACAAATCCTTCTGTATCAGGAGCAACCCAGACATTCATATCCAGCCAGATAGCTCCAGCCTGTCAGCAACAATTCAAAACAGGTGTCTGTTGTCATAATTGATGATTTCTTTAAAATATAAAACACCACTTGCAGAAAATAAGGGATAAACAAAGTTGTTACTAACCAGTTCGTGCTGGAGGACGTGTATACACGCAAACGTTTTCTGCAATTTAGATCAGATGAATGATAAACCTGCAGTGAGTGAGCCCAGAAAAATCTGTCAGCAACTCGCTCTCAGCGAGAGAGGCCAGAAATACAAATGTGCTCCACGAGGGTGATGGCTTCAACCTCCCTGGCTTGAGGTCAAGTGAAAAGTAATCCCGTGCCTCTTTCGGTTCTTGTCAAAATAATCCCGGTGCAAACTGGTTAAGCAACCATCACCATATTTCCATGAAACTAAACCCTTATCAACAGCAAGATAACATTTTCTGCACTCACCTCAAGTCGATACGGTGCAAACGGTAGAATAGTTGGCTTTCTGTCTATCCCGTGATCATAGCTGATGAAAGGCTGCAGGATCTCAGTCATGTCTTTTGTTAGCAGCGGTGTGATGGACAACTCAAACTCCACACTGAAAACATCCTGAGACAATAATACAATGTTGTACACCCGGTATTAATTAATGACATACAAACCTAATGGCTTCTATTCTGTACTGCCGTTAAGCAACGATGGTCATGTAGCCAATATATTGCTCTCAGCAAACTTAAATTTTTGAGCTAATATGAATCCAATTTGCAGACCACAGAAAACTAAGATCAAGCATGGTCAGTTCATGATGCAGCCAGCATGATGTTAGAGTTCCAGGCGTTTGGAAAGCCACATACAAACATGCACCTCATTGCACCCATACATGACAGTCGTTACAGCACTGAGAAAATAAAAGGGAATATCAATATGCCATCATGAGGGTGCTGGGAATGCATGAACCCTTTTCACACTAGAGTCTCTCAACCCGGGTTGAACTCAACCCTGGATGAACCAGCTGCCTCCCGGGGTTGAGGTTTTTTATTTTTCAACCCTGTGTGCAATCCCCCTTCGTTTCACACTTGTTTTGTGCGAACTGAGCTTATTTTGCTCGGTCAAACTATTTTGAGCCCTGGCAAGAGTTTCAAACCAGCTTGAAAATTTCTACACTGGTGTGGGACAGGAGTGAGATTAATCCAGGGCGAAATCAATCTTAGGGATGACATGGGGTTGGCGCAGGGTTACTAGTTTGCAAGTGTGAAACGCTGCACGTTTTCAACCTTGTGTCAACCCCCCATCATTCCTAGGATTTCTCCAGTGTGAATAGGTTTGACATGTACATGTGCGTTAACCTCGTTCAATCAAGTCAAGTCTGTACTCAATTGGAAGTTAGGAAGATATGAACATCACTACAAATGTAGGCAAGGATCAGCATACCTCCTGACTGTTGTACAGACCAGCATACCACTCACATTGCTGCTGTGCTAAGGAGCCTTCTAAAGGTCCGTACATCAAGACAAACTCCTCACCTCCACATGTTGAGTTACAATCACCTGCCAAGTCAAAAACCACACTTAAATGTTACATGAAACACTATAGCAACCACAGCATTTGATACAATTGACCTATCGCCGTGTTAGAGTTAAACAAGCCCCTTAGACAACCCTATGGAATTTTGTATGTTAAGTTTTGTTTGTCTCAGATTTGCGTGTTCTGCATCAATTTGTATATCATGTAATTGGACATTATTTCACAAGTCGTGTTGACGCAATTCTACCGTGATAGGATAATACAACTTGCAATAGTACCCCTCCCCCAATTGAGCTGATGAAAACGCCCACACTGAGAAGAGTCTGTCTATAGAGTTCCAAAGTGGATGCATCACATGCACAATTATGTGTATAAGAGACATTACTGCGTGATTCAGCCCATGAACCAACACGCGCGCGTATTTGTTTGCACTACAATTCCCGGTTCAAAATGATGTCACACTTCGGTACTATATGGGTCCTCTTATAGGCCCATGTTTATGCTATAGTCCATCATTTGCAGCTACCCGAAAGGTAACTGGCATACTTATTGTTGAAAAGATACTTGGTTGAAAGATGTTAAGAAGAATACACGAGAAAGTGTGGATTCGTAATTTAAGAATTCACGAGGCGCTAAGCGCCGAGTGAATTCATAAATTAAGAATCCACACTTGCGAGTGTATTCTTCGACTTAAACCATTGCGTCAACAAAAGTATTGGAGAGAATGCTGCAACCTGACGCCACTTTTTTCTTCATATATCATCTCAATGAAGGCCATTCGTTGCAAAAACGATGATAAGACATGAATCTGGGCTGATAAATGTTTCCAAAATTGTTAGGAAATACTTGAAATGACTCCACAGACGTTGTACACAAGTGCAGAAGTGGCGTCAGGTTTTAACATCATTGTTTCCTGGTGTGTTTAGCATGTGTATCGACACACCTGTGTATAGGCTCCTTACGTCAAAATGGACAGTTCAGACGACGATTTCTTTCTGACTAAAAGTAGTTTTTGCAGTGACGGCGGAAAATCTGACAGTGAAGATGCATTGGTAATTTTCGGAAAGCAAATTTTCATGCAGACGGTCCTATTCATGCTCATTATGGAGAACAATTGTCCGACATGTTCAAAGTGTGGATTCGTAATTCCGAATCCACACTTTACTAAAGATTCGTCGTACCGAATCCACACTTTGTGACCAGTGTAAGAGATTCGTAGATCCGAATCCACACTTTTAACAATAGTGTGAGTCATAGCAATGGTTTAATGTAAGGGGACTATACTCCCTGTGAAATTATTCTTTCTGGCAAGCTGTCATTTTGAAGTAATCAACGAAAGAAGGCCTTTCAAACGGTGCTTCTTAAGACGCTCCGTAGGAAATTTAAATTAGTAGTTCCTTTTGTTATTCGGCGAAGCGCGCACAAGCATTGGCACGACGCACATGCGGTTGCTATAATTCATCGGATAAGTGCACGACATCGCATGTAGCTGCAATCGGCTAGTGAGAACGTGTCTCGGACGCTGAATTCTAGGCCCAATCCAAAACATGATTCAGCAACTTTTGATTTGAAATTGAGATCCTAGAATGCTGTTTTTCTCGGAATATACAGCTGAAGCTGAGCTGAAACTTCATCAGGTTTTAGTTGTTTAGTACCCTTCTTTAGATTTTGAGCACTTTTGTTGCTTCAAACGAACAAAATGCACAAATTACAAATGATGGACTATATCTTTAATAAACAAGACTTTGCAATGATTATAATTTTGAATAAACCTCAGTAACTGAGAAACAGATTTCAAGTTTTCAGAGCAATACCTGAACATGTTATGTTGCAATAGTCCAACGTGACTGGTTCCATGTCCACCACTTCCCTGGTGACATTGCGCCATGTAGTGACATCCTGGCTGCAATTAGCTGCATACAGCTGTAAATATCAATGTATAAGTTCCCAGACATTATTCAAATTCATAATATGTAAATTCTTCCATTTAGTTTGGAAACTTAAACATACATGTACATGTACTAGCTATGACATGTAGCAGGATAAGGGACGAGGGAACCCACTCCTCTTCTTCTGTGTTGATCACTGTGTTCACGGAATCTCAGGAATTCTTTTGAGATATGTAGTAGGGATGTGCAATTAGGCAACAGTAGTTTAGAGCGTGCATGGGACATACACTGTAGGGACACGGGGGAGGCCGGAGGGGGGGATCCTTCTGCCCCAAATCGTGCAGGGTATGAATTATGAGCAAGGAATACACAGCTTTCATACCGGTAGATATACATGTACAAAAGGTTTTATCACAAAATTTTGAGTGAACGTGTTCAGAATTTTTTTTTTCAACACAAACCCCACAAAAACAAACACAAGTAAAACAGAAAACTCGACTTCAAGAATTAAATAGGCAAATTTTTGTCAGACCCTTAAGCCTTAACAAGCTAATTTCTAGACCCGATTTCATAAAAAATCAGAAATCAGGAAACCAAAGTCCAAGGAAAATGATGCCTACTTACCACATCAAAGCTTTCTGCTTCCATTCGGCTACAATTGCTATACCACCTCTTGACTAGTACCTCATGAAACTCTTCCTGACAATCCTCATGGATACATGATACAAAGCAGTCATCAATTGCAACCTCAATGCAACCTCGCATTGAACCTCCCGGATATGTTGCCTCACAACCCTCCAAACCCTCATTCATACAGGAACTACAGTTATGTAACAACTGCCAGGTGCAGTTTGATGTCGTCACGTTGTGTTTAGTAACAGTTGGGAAGTCACAATGACTCGCTGATTGGTTCCAGAATGTCCCTGAAGTGTTTAAGCAAACCTCACGGCCTTCCATGGTGCAATTCTCTCTCACCTCCACTGAACAATTCTCATGATCATTTACCGAACAAGAAACATTGTATGCAGCGGTGCAAATACCAACATAGGCATCAACGCAACATTTCTGTTCTATATCCGTCATCCTGAAATCATTCATCAGATAGTAACTGTCCCTAGCCTGCTCCAAACACGGTTCTTGAGCTAAACCTCCACAATTCCTCACAGCAAGTCCATTACATAACTGCATCTCATTCCTAGTGCAGTTCTCAACCTGCACAGCCAGGCATTCAGGATTCATCGTCTCATTGCATACAAGCTCTGCCGTGTCTTGGCAATTAACAGCAAAGTTTTCAAGACATTCTGTCACCGTTTCATTCTCACAGCTCCGATTTGCATCTCGTTTGCAAGTCTCATACACATCTTGATCCATACAAGTGTGAGTCACGGTATAGTTATTCCATTCCTTCCTGGTTTCGTTGCAATCGTAGTAGACAGTTTCAATGAACGGTTCCAGGAAGGTACGATTGAGAGGTGTGTACAAGGAATGAGCTACAGCAGCATAGCGACGGTACACAGTGTGGTTACCACAGTAGCAATCAGAGCCATTCTTGGTAGCAGAAATGAGCAAATTGGCATCCCTGCACAAGACAAGGAAAAACAAAGTACATTTCAGCTTACTCAATCAGAACCCATTATATCTCAATCTGTCATTTACTGATGCAAACTTGACTGATGATTTCTTAACGCAGATTTCTTAACGGCTACAAAGCCTACATTCATCATCTCAGTACAACTGTGCCAATCTTGCTAAAAATAATCTGCAAGTGGTTCCACTTTTGAAATGTCACTGCAAAATGATACTGAAGAGGCCTGCAAATAAAGCAGGCTACAATGAAAAAGTGATGGTACTTGTTCTGGTCATAATGTTCTGGTCATGAAGTCATAATGTTTCCCAAGTTTGAACCAGCACTCCCATAGAACCATTGTCTTTGGAAGCATTTTACATCCTACCTGCAGAGTTTCAGGCACAGATTTCTCGTCATCGCTTTGGTGACATTAACATGATCTGGCTGATTCCTGGTCGCCATAGCAACTTCAAAGTGATGATCCACATTGTGAAAGCATCCGAGTAACACTGACTTCTCATAGTGCGTGGTGTTGACAGGAAGGCAGCTAGGCATTGTGGGATAGGGTCGCTGCTCCCCACTCATAGTCTTGAAGCGTTGCTGGATGGTAGAGTTGAATTCCTAAATAAGAGAAAGGCTGATTTACAAACTGAACAAACCCTCTTGTTATTACTTAAACAGAGGGAATTAAAGTAAGTATTAATAAACTCTCTTTATATAGAGATTGGCGCGTGCGTGACACTTATCTTTTCCAATGGTGTACAACACGGCAGTGCCGTTGTAGGGTGAATTTAGGACTCTATGAAATACGGACTCCTTGGTAGTATTGTGCATGCCTAAGTGAAGATTGTGAATGTTCAACCAATACAAGGGTAAAAGGACCAGATTTCACAGGAGTCCAATTTCATGTTATGCCGGAAAAGTGTTTAAAACCAGCTAGCCGGTGTTTTATCAACCGTTTACCACATGACGGGCTCTCGACCAATAGGAATGGGTAAACTGTCATAGGTATTTATGAATGAATAATAGAAGACACCAACCCTCTGCTTGTCCATTGTGAATGGCTGACTATAGATATCAGGCAACTCAGCATAGAAGAACCTGTTACCATCAAGGTCAGAGGTCAAGGACTCATTAGAAAGCTTCTCAGTAGGGAAGATGATTTGACTGCCCATCTCAGTGATGCGGACTGATTCAAACTTGAACCCATCACCTTGAGAGAAAAAAAATGGAACAATCGTGAGAAACACAACAATTCAAAAGTCATTTCCGTTAAGTTATTTTTTATTGGTAATCAACTATCACAATTAAGGCCACTCAAGGTGTAGGCCACAAAGGAAGTATAGTGGAATCCGGCGACCAGAATTAGAAGATTTTACTGCAGCGATGACACGCTCACACGCATGCTGCACTGTTCTTAAAGACAAGGGGCACGTGCATTTTGGTATTCATATTGGTCGAAGGAGCCCGGAGCGTGTGTGTACTACCTGAGAGTGACTTGTGCCGGCCTGGTACTACCGAAGAAAATGGCTGAAGCCGGATTTGTCTATAGACAAGACACGTTAGGGAGCATTTCAGTCAGGCTGAAAGCGGTATCCATTGCGGTACTGGTGTTTTTGGCGGTACATTAGGATTAAGTCAAGCTGGCTATGATAATGAGCTCATTATTTACAGGTCAGTGCACACAGGCAGTTTAGTTACAACAATATTGTTGAGGAGTGTGCAACCTGCTGGCGGTCTGCTGACGGAGTGTCCTTCACAAAGGATCCAATTACAGCGGCACTGATCCCTTAATTGCTCTCCAGCTAACCCCTTTTATGTACATGTACACTGGGGTTTTTGTACACGGGCTGGCCCGTGGCCATTCAACACAGTAAGGCATTTTCAAACTTGAAATCTTTGGCAAGCCTACTGGGCTTTTAATGAGCTCCACGTTTGACCTCATAAATATTCAGTTATTCAGACCTGATGGCTTTCCATTCGTCAGCCAGGTTTGGGGCATGGAGCGCGGTACCGCAAAAAAATAACACCGGTATCGCAATGGATACCGCTTTCAGCCCGACTGAAACGCTCCCTTATAGGAACAGAAGATACCTATTGACATTTCTTTTGAATAGATTACAAGTTGATGGAAAACTGGATTCAGGTAAGGAGTTCCGACGAGGGAAAAAAAAGCTGGCAGACTATCTCACAGTACCAGCCTTTGGAGCAGATACAGTGAAGGGATGAGAGGAGATTGCAAAACATGTGCTGCGAGTGAAGGTGTGAACAGATGGGACAACAAGTGAGAGACCTTCTGAGCACATATCATGATAGTATCAATAACTTGGCAAACATGTCTTCAGGAATGAGACAGAACTGTTTTGCCCTCTACAATCTTGAGACATTAGTTTCTTTTTAAAAGATAGACATGACGAGAACTTGAAAAGCAGGCTTTGGGGCCCAACTCATGTACCTTGAGGAAGTGCCAATAAAACCGTCATGTTGCACTTGATCTTAGGTACAACCACCTCCAGGCCAAACCTGACCGTCTTTTCCTCCCGTAGATTGACTGTCACTTGATGTAGCCACTCAGACGAGGAGTAAACGCTGAAATCAATGGCACTAGAGCCCCCAGCAGCAGGTGGTAACATGTAGAAACGAGCGCTAGGAGCAGGTGCAGTCAGATTGAAGGTGATGTTGTCAGGTATGTGGTAGAGACGAGACTCTGCGTTGAATTGTACAAGTGTGTCGTAAGGTTTGGCTGAGTAGTACCACATGGATGCCTGGTGGAATTGACAACGGAGAAAAAGAGAACAAGCATCGCCTCAGTATAAAATAGTGGGGGAGTGTGGTCTAGTGGTTAGGGTTTGTGACTCATGATCAGAGGGTCAGGGGTTTGAATCCAACTGCTGACCATATGTTGTGTCTTTTGGCAAGCCAATTCTCCCCCACTTGCCCCTCTCTGCCCAGGAGCATAAATGGCTACCAGCATTGGCTGGGGGATGTAGGGAGTAACCTGCGATTGACTAGCATCTTATCCAGGGGGAATAGAAATATTCTCAGTCATTCCATGCTACTGAAACAAGAGATAAACGCCGGACTGATGGTCCACATGGGCTTGTGACAGACTGTACTTCTTTTAATTGTATAAAATGCTCATAAAATACATTGAGGAAGGGCACAAAAACACATTATATGACCTCCAACTTCCCAAGTTGAATGCAATATACCATTGTTTGCTTGGTGACTGCATCAGCTGTTAGCATTAGCCAGGCATGCCAAGATGACCCGGGAGCCTATTTAACGTAGCAAGATGGAGACAAAATCCTTACTTCTCACAGCACCATGAACAGTTACCTGAGTCATCCAAGTCTTTCCAGGAAACACCTCCACATCTGGTCTGATGCGATGAGACACAGTAAACCGCTCACACATCTGCGCTTGATTGAATCTCTTGATGTACAACTCAAACTCTTGCTCACTAAGCTGCTGAAGGGATGGGTAGTTATCAACCTCCAGAGAGTTAGTAGGAGGTGAATGACTGATGAAATGAGTGTCAGGGATGATATCAGAGGGAAGCTCAGAGTGGATCAGGATGAACACATCAAAAGCGTTGCCTGAAAGAAAATAAGTGACAAATCTAGATTCTTCAAAGGGGATGGTTGAGGCGTTGAAGGTAACCCCAATGGAGACCAAAGACTGGTGAAGCAGATACAACCGCATTTCTTTTTGGAAGTTTGGAAGTTTTTCAAGGCATCAATATTAGTGATGTGTTCCGGCAGAATGAGACAGATCTGGGCAGAGGATGAATGAGGATTTACAGGTATTAGGAAAGACATTAGGGAGGTTTCGCAAGCAAACGGATATGCTTACACTTACGTTTAGCTATCCGTATCCGCTTTTCACTTACGTGTAGCGAGCGAGATATGCGTGTCGTCTGCACGTTTAGCGGATAGTGAGTGGCGTATGACGTCATAACTGATGACGTATCCGTCGCACTAAACGTATCCGTTTGCATGCGAAACCTCTCTAATAGCAGTCTCTTTACAATACTGTTTGTTGCACTTCATTTGGACATTCTGTTGACAGGTTATGGCTGTGTAAAGTTTACATTCACCAACATTTCTAAAGAAATAAACTCCTGAGAAGAGGGCATATAGAGTTTCAAGTTTTGTATTTGTGACAATGAAAGATGCTTTGTTTATTTCCAAAAACATTTGTATTGATGAACAATTTTTATACTACTTCTATAAAATATGTGTTGTAGACATGTCAAAGGTTACAAATATCAATAAATCCAAAAATTGAAAAAAAGAAAAGAAAAAAAAACCTCCTTCAGGTTTTTTAACTTTTTTCTTCACTACGACCTGTGCCCAGTTCCATGTCTTTTTGTCAGAATGCCTTATAAGGAAGTTTGGAATCTTTTCAAGGCATTAGCGTTGGTCAGACAAGACCTACCTGTGAAGTCAACATGATGTGTAGCTGTCAGTCCGTAGTTAATGATGTCACCGGCTGTTCTACCAACCGCTGTGCATCCCTCCTCCTCATTGGATGTGAAACCGGAATAGCAACGACATCTTCATGAAAGTGATTGGTGACATGATAAAAGTACAAAAGTATGTTGCAGTAATTTTTGAAAATTTCTTTTCAAACAGAAACATCATATTTAGATGTTTAATTTATGTTGAAATCATCAGCATGCAATGTCATATGGCACACACTGGACGTTTACTTCAGTTATCATCATTACAGAATGTGAACTATTAAAACAATTTTTTCCCAAACAGATCAATTTCTGATTCCAAAATAGCTGCAAGATCAAATTTAGTTTTCAAAATTGGTGTCCAATCTTGTAGTACATGTAGCTGGATAATCAAGCGACAGATACACTAATTTACTGGACTTTAGTTGATCCTAGTCAAGCATCCAAATTTGTTCACAACTGACAAACAATTTCAATTCTTCTTGTCTCCTCAATATATCCACGGAACTAGCAGATGTGCATTTTTTTCGTTTGAACAAAAGTGCTCAAAATCTAAAGTAGGGTGCTTAACAACTAACCTGATGAACTTTTAGCTCCGTGAATGATGTTTATTTTGAGAAAAACAATATTCTAGAATCTTGATTTAATTTAAAGTTGCTGAGTCATGTTTTGAATTGCGCCCGAAATCAGCATCTGGGACACGTTCTCATTCAGCTGATTGCAGCCATGTGATGTTAAGCACAGAACCGAGGAATAATAGCAATGTGCTCCCATGCACTGAGTCAGCGTTTGCAAGCACCCATTCACAGATTTGCCGAATTACAAGCAACTACTAACGGAAATTTCGAACAATTTGGCAAGTAACGCATCTTTGGAAATGGCCTACTTTTTATTCAAAATGACAGCATGCCAGAACATGCAGAATGAATAATTTCACAGGGAGTTTAGTGCCATTACTATCTTTAAACCAAGTAAGCTTTTTAACAATAATGTTGTCAGTTTTTTGGATAGCTGCAAATAATCTACTTTACCTTTAAGCTAAACAATGCCTTTTTACAACCTACATGTACATGCAACACTAAGCCAACCTATCCTGTGATTAAACCTACTCTGATGTAGTACAATCCTGCATATTATCAGTAGCCGTTATGCAAGTCCTCCCTTGATTGCATTCCTCTGATGCACAACAGGTGTTTTCTGTACAGGTGTAACCTGACTCATGCCTGACCTGATCCAACTGCCAAGGGTGGTCTAGAAGCTAAGGAAAGTACCAAGGTAACATCACTACATTAACATGTATGTCCCTACATGAATATCAGATAGGCATGAACAGTTAATTTAAAACATACAATCAACAATTAACTAATCAACTAAAAATATAAATAACTCTACATTGGATATCACACAGTGTAAAGAACTAGTAATATTGTCCGCAGTAAATTGTTCTTGTGGAAAGCGCTACCAGCTCAATTGTGTAGCGGTTATCAGTATCCCTTCAGTCAGTATTCCAGACTCAAGAACAAAACTTGAAGCTACTCACCTCAACCCTGAGACTCAGCTGAGGTTCAACAACTGTCAACACGATGCTACTATCTTCCAAGAGGACAGGTGTTCGGATGAAGTCACTGACGTACATTGCTGATATTGTGAAGGGTATCTCCACACCCTGGACCCAGTAAGGTTCATCCTTGACTCGGAAAGTAAAGTAGAGGAAGATGAAGTCTTGGTCATCAGCGACGTTATCTGCTTCATTGACTACAACGCCTGAGGTAAGAGTGAAATCAGTGGAGCTCAGTGTTACGTACTTGCGGTGGATCACAAGTCCATCACGAGTGATTACAATTCATCAGGTACCAAGTCAACTTACAAGCTATTAAAATGACCAGTGACAAAGGCAGTCCTTCCACATTTTTTGTTCACTTTTACTTGTGACTGGTATGTACTTGCGACCCATTATAAGCACCTTCACTACAACAATAACGGGGCTGGAATCTTTAAGTAAAGTGCATTTTGACACAAAGTAAACTATAGTGGTGTGCATTTAGGGATATTTCGGGAACCGGGTACCCAAATGAAGTAAAACACAGGTACCGGTACCCATAAGAGACGGTCTTATCAAAACGGAAGGTGTCTGAAGGGCTTTATAGCTTGACGGTGTAAACATGGTAAACTGCAACTTTCGCGAGCGTCATGTGTTGCGCGTTAAAATGCAGATATAACATAAAATCTGTTTTGATTTCCATGTACATTGGTTTTCATTTTGAAAATTCCCCACAAATGGCATTCAAAGCCTTTCTTTTTATTGACTTAGAAGTGACTGAGTAGTTTGTAAAGTTGGTTATTTGTACTCAATCCCATAATCTGAAACCGGTTCCTGACATCAGCGGCCGGGTACTCGGGTACCCGGTTCCAATGCATACCCCTTGTAAACTAGGAATTGATTTTATTTTACCTGGCACCACTGATATTCCTGTCTCCAGAAATCTAGCAGAGTTGTACTGTTTTCCAGGATAGAAGTAGCCCTCTGATGGCTCAGGATCAGTCTCTAGCTCGAGGTAGATCGACGGCGTGTCATTCCGATGATAAACCCTGTCTGACAGCAGGACCCGGCCTGAGTTGGCAGTGTAATTCTGCATTACACCTTCCATAGAGAAGTTGAGAAACTGTAAAGTGATCTCAGGAATCCAGAGTTTAGCCTCCATGCGGACATAATCACCAATAGAGAAGGTTTGAGGGGGATCCCCGTACTGACTAGTGAAAAACATCATGGAGTTAGCTGTTGTGAAGTCTAGTTTAGCTGAGATGGTTGGAGCGTCAATTTGAACAGTGTCAGAAGCCAGGATAGATGGGTAGAGTCGACCAGGGAAATCTATCAAGCTGCTATCGTACCAAGCAATACCCGTAGCTGTGATCAGAGAGTTGGCAACAAAGTCAATGTGATTCCCTACAGAGAGGTTGAAGAAGCCTTTGAAGATTGCACCAGTTGGGTCAACAGGCAAGAGTGGCAGGTGGAAACGACCGATTGAGTTATCATAGGAGACGTCACAGAGAGTGGCTCCACCTGCGCATGACGGTTCCTCAGAGGGAAGCTCTAGTTTTGCATAGCCAGACGTACGGGTAAAGTTCACGGCATCTAATTGCAGGGTCACATTAAATGCTGGGGCATTAGACTCAGCAGTATGAGTGATTACAAAGTCAAAGACAACTGGATCGATACTGTCAACAATGCTAGGTTCCGCATGGCGAGTAAAGGTGATCTGAAGTTCAGGCTCTATTATAACAACTTCATGTGACTTCCTTGTAATCATCTGATCAATAATTGTAGCATTATAATCCCAGTGGTCAAGTATGTACTGTGTCTCGTTATCCGGAGGCACAAAGCAGTCACAGTCATAGGTCTCAAATGCTGGCTGCTCATTGCAATTCAAGGGGTCAACGTGGAACCCAACTTTATCAAGTTCAAGACAGTCACATTCCAACTCATAGGTGTATAAGCTATGTAACAGATCAGTGAAATTCAGTCCTGTATCAATGGTTCCATTTAGCGTAGTGTTAAACCATGTTCCATTGCCTGAAACACTTGAGTTACTATATCCATGACCAAAGTTTGTGAGGTTAGAGTGTGGAGTTATCTCACGTTCAGCGCTGTCGTTTCTTAGTTGATACCAGTCCAGCACTTCAGACATGTTGAGTGGAACCGTGTACATTTTCTGGCACTGACAGGTTGTGTTAGGGAGAGGTATGATGTGGGTATGTGTGACGTTAGCACATCTCCCGCTATCTATCCCAACACAATCATGCTCAACATCGACACCACATGTCATCCTACAGCTACAGCTTAAGGTGACTGACCCTGGTGACGGAGCAGTCGTTGTGGAGTATGACTGAATGGTTGCATTTTCAGGAGTTGTGTGAGACAAAACAGTGCTTGATTCATTCAAAGCTTGGCAGGAGCAATCACTGTCATTAAATGTGTGAAGGATCGGCTCCCCAATAAATACATCTGTGTTGTTCATGCAATACTCAACGTTCACATTACTATCAAACGGTTCCTGTAATTTTGCTAAAATTTCACCAGTGTCACAAGAGCACATGGTTTGAATGGAGCCCTCTACAGTTGTATTCTGGCAGGCACAGTTGGCATCAAGTGGAATCTCATGGTGGGTGACGGTATACTGCAGATTATGACAGGAGTAGTTTCTCTTGTAATGCTCCAAGCAGTTATCCACGTGACGATGAAGTAACGAATCTGGATCATGTGATGAGATAGTACTGTTCAAGGTGAGGCAGTCACAAGACTCAGGATTAAAATGCTCTAATGCTGCCACGTGTGGTGGGTTTAAAAAGTACCAGAGTATACCCCAGCAGTAGTTGATGCAGTTACAAGATAGGGAACCAGTGTAAGTGTCCCCATCATCCACATAGTAACTGGTGCAGTTACACTCATCATCAGACATGTTGGCAAGGTGCCACGTCTCACAGAAGCACTCTTTAGAAGCTAGGGCATCCCAGTGTTCCTCTAAGGGTTTGCGACAGGTGCAATTCTCTCTGAAGATGTCACTTGGTGGGATGGGGTAGCTCACGTAAGAGAAGATGGATGTGGCATTGAGAATGAGAACATCACCACGGTTAAGCTCAGGGAGGTCAAGAATCACCATGGTAACGGTGACCTGGATAGTGCTACCACCCTCACTTAGGTTTGCAGGCAGGTGTTCTGATATGTAGTACACACCTGTTGCAAGCAATCATAAAGAAACACTCTACTGTGACTTCAAAGCCGTACAATCATTTGATAGAGCCAGAGGCAACTACAGTACGTACCACTGTACAGATTGAGCAATTTCTACAATTTTTTTTATCTAAAAGTAGCTTAAATTGGCTTTCCAGTCATTGTTATTTTGGTGCTACATATTTGTTGTTGTTGGGTTCCGCTTTTTTTGACTCGCCCTGTATTAGAGATTACAAATATTAATAAAGCTAAGTATCAAACAAAATCACCCCCATTCATTTTTTTTTGCATTGTTCCAATGTGGCCAAGCCCAGTTCTGCCTCATTTTCAGTCACGCTTGTGGCAAGTTAACAGCTGTTTTGGTTTAGTCAATCAATTTACTAAGCAACCATTTCAAAGATTTGGCAACAACACCAATTAACCTGTGGTTTGTGAACATTTCTCACAGTGTTTATGACCGAGTTTGTCACTAGACCAAAAGTCGTGATTTCATTCATTAGTCAATGTGCACTGGTTGACTGGCAGGAAGGGTCAATTAAATAAGCACACACAGGTATGGCCCGACGATCAAATCTTACATAACGCCCTCACCTGGGTGGAATGGATTGTGACGATTGCCACCCACAAAGGTACAAACTGCCCCCTCTCTGGATGACCAAATGTCAGTGTGGACGACAGATGCCAACCCAAACAACACCTCTTCTTCTTCATCGCAAACATTGGGCAATGAGGGCGCTGTTGTGGTATCATTTACATTAGGTGAAGGTGTGGTGACCACGGCAGAGATGTTCAGATGTCTGCATGCAAGGTAAGGATCCTGGGTGGTGGTCATGTTGGTACCGTTAACAGACACAACTACGAAAATAGAACGAATCACAAATGAAATCATTGAGGTTGGTAACGTTTGATTTGGAGTATGGGGCAAATGAGTCATATAAAGTGCCCTTTTTCTGAACCACCTTCTTACAAATCAAGAAACTGTTTTGCACCTAGCCTATCTACACTAGAAAATCTTGGGGCTGAAACAGAGTTGAAAACATGTGGCGTCTCACATTTGAAAATTTTCAACCCAACGCCAACCCTATGTCAACCGTGAGAATGATTTCGACCCAGTTTGAACTCAGATTTTCAACCCTGGATGAAATTCTTGCTCGGGCTGGAAACAGTAGTAACTGAGCAAGGTAAGTTTGGTTTGCACAAAACGAGTGTGAAACAATGCGGGTTGAATGCAGGGTTGAAAATCCAAAACTCACCCTGGGGGACACTGGGTTCGTCCAGGGTTGAGTTCAAACCGGCTTGAGAGACTCTAGTGTGTCAGAGGCTTTAGTGTGTTTTGCTTCATGGTTTTACGTAGCATCTGAATGACTCGGCTACAGCTGGCTGCAATGCAAGTCCATGGAAGTGGTTTTAACTGCTTCAATGAGCGCCTGTGTAATTACAAGCCGTAGCCATTAGCCACATACATGTACATACTCAAACAAGATTTACTGTAAACCTGCAACATTTTCACTCACCCTCGGTTTTGGGTTGGGCTGTGGGCTCAAAAGGAGGCGGTTCATAGTAACTACATGCACAGGTTGCGTTCCTATCATCTCTATCAGTTTCATTGTGCACCGTCTCTGGAATGACGCAGCGGTGTAAAGTAGCCACTGCGCAGAAAGCTTGAGCAAATTCAGTGCACGACAGTCCTGATGCATATTCGTCAGTACCCGTTGTCTGATTGGCCAGTTGGCTTTGATTATTAGCTGTGAGATTACCATATGAAGGGCTTGGAGTTGTCTGATTGGCCAGTTGGCTTTGATAGGTAGCCGTCTGATTAGCATATAAGGAGGTGGTGTGATTGGTCTGTGATTGCTGGGTGGGTGTGGCCTGTGATTGGTTCCAATTATCTGCTTGCATGTGATTGGTTAAGGACTCGTTAGCACTGCTGCCTTGATCAGGTACTTTCTGGAAGATGTGGCTCCATAGGTCGGTAATTGAAGAGTTCATTTGGCACTCTTTAAGAACAGACTGAATACAGACATCGTAAAGCCAGTCATGGTAGATACAAACTTGGGGCACATTGAATGAATCATATTCAATAGTTTTATTAGCTACGGAGCAATTTCCGGTGCTGTTGTAACCACATTGAGTGCAATTCATACTAGTTCCATTACAAGTTGTGTTTCCTATGGACCCATTCCCAGCATCCCCTCCATTGATGATGTCCAAATTCACCCCCGTGCAGTTCTCTTTTGGTATCTCATCACAGCTAGTCAGCCAATCAGGATACACTCTATAGAACGTACCATTCCCAGTGGGGGAGTCAGTGCAAATACAAGCATCTGTGACTGTATCATTCGGAAAGCAGCCCTGCCTCAAAAAAGTTTCTTCAATTGCTAACTGGTCAGGCACTTCCTCCTTCAGCTTCAAGACTTCCCATGTCTTGAGGACCAGTTGATATCGCGGCAAATCCAATGCTACAGACAAATTGCTTGGGATTGGAGGAACAGGGACACGCATAGCGTACATGACCTGCTCATTAATAGTCACCTGATTATCAGGTGTCTGTGGATGGGAGGTTCCATCAAAGATCAGAGTGGCGTTACGAATGTTGATGACATTCTCACTGATGCCAGAGAAGTGGTAGACACGACCCCACTGATAGAAACTGTACATGTGATATCTGGAGGTTGCTAACAACGCAATTCCTGAAAACAGAGAAAACATAATGGCAATCACTGCAATGGATTTAATTGCTTATTTTATAATAGATAGAACTAAAGCAATACAGTACTATGATATCTCAACTGATGTGAAGACTTGGTCCTCTCAGTACTATAACTTTTCAAAAAGGTTGGGATCAAGATTCAATATACTTTGAAATCATACAAATCTATTCTCAAGATGTGTTCACTCTTTTCCAAATGTAAATGCCGATGACTGTCATACCTTCAGTCAGTTTGGTAGATATCTGTATCAAGAACGTTCCATCAATGACGTCTCCTAACGGCAGCTTATAAAGATACAACCAGAGTTTCCCATCAGCTTCATACGGCCCAAGTGAATCGAAGATCTTGGTAGTAGGAACATGAGAGTCATTACTGGGACTAAAGTCCTGGTAGACGGCCATGTAGGGAAGATGGAGCTCTATGACAACGTGGTGGGCAGGACTTTGAGAGAGCTCCGTGTGAGACAGTTGGATGTGGTACTGGAAGACATCACCTGAGATAAGAAACGGGATGGATGCGAGACAGGGGAGTTGGCAAGAGGAGGGAGGAGGCAGGTAAAGGGAATATATCTGAGACAGGTGGATGTGGTATCTGAGACAGTTGGATGCGGTACTGGAAGACATCACCTGAGATACGAAATGGGATGGATGCAAGACAGGGGAGTTGGAAAGGGGAGGGAGGAGGCAGGTAACGGGAATACGTCAGATTGGAAGATGTCAGGTGATGGGAAAGGTGTCGGGTAGAGTAGGGGAAAGTAGTTTGGGTAAGGAAGGATGGAGAGAACGGAAGAAGTGTTGTGGGGAGTAAAACAAAGTAGCAAATTTAAATCAAAGGGATTTAAATCCTATCATCTCTGAATCCTTCAAAATCCACACCAGAGTTTTCTGTCCATGGCAGTTCATCGTTTCTGTCCTTTTAGCAGGTTGTAGCCCTTGACACTTATAAAACACTTACTGCAAAACAATGCATATCGGTCATGGCAAGCACATTTGGCAACTTTTGACCGGAGCAGCGCACAGTTGCAGCTGGCAGTTTTCAATATCCAAGTATTCAGTCAAACACAGTTTCGAGTAATCACTAATTTTTTTGAAAGTCGACAGCACTTTTTTCTAGGTGCACTGTCAAAGGACTATACTGGCAAACGTCAGCAGATTAATAATGTAATAATAAAAATAGCAGAGTCTCATATAGCACACATATCTACCAACAATTAGGTTCTCAAGACGCTGGTAATTATGTCTATTTCTATGTTATGTTCCTTTTATGGGCATATACAAATTGCTGCGGTGCACATTGCAACCAATGCCAGAAACACCGCGGCAAACCCCTTCTCTTAGCGATAAGTGTCACCGTTACACGGGACCTTCGGCTTTACGTCCTATCAGAAGGACAAAGCATTAATGGTCAAGTGCCTTGCTCAAGAGCACAAGCATCATGGTCCCTGTCAGGATTCAAACCCATGTACCACGAACACTGTTATCATTGGACCACAGTCCCCTCTCAAGACGCACAGCTGACAGACAGACAAACTGACCTGGGTCTCCCGCATTGGTTTCATTGGTCATGTTCAATCTCAACGTCACCTCAGGCTCCCACACATGTATGGTCTGTTCCTGTATCAAATCATTGCCGTTGGAGTATGAGACAGTGGTTGTCAGGACGTGCTCATTGTCTCGAGACACAAGTCCTGTGGTGTTCTGTAGGACCACGTTGAACTCCAGTATTAGGTTATCTCCTTTAAAGTAACAAATACCAAAGAAACATGACTGAATCTACATCTAAATTAAGATTTCAATACCGGCAATTCCCAATACAGTGCATCACCGAGACAGTTGCCATGAAGAGCCTATTTTTCACAGTGCATTGAGGGAGATGGTCAACACACTTGCAAGGAAAAGGACACTTATTATTATTACTTTGTCTCGTCTGTACTTTCGGAAGCGTATGATTCAAGTCTCTTTTCTTTTCTTTTTTTATCGTGACGGTGTTCTTTTGTGATATGGCAGAATGCTGTGCCCCAATCTATCAAAAATTTTCTTAAAGTTGTCTTCTGACATTCGTTCAAATTTGCATAAGTTTGCCATGATTTTGTTGACCGTAAACTTGAAAAATGGACTTTGTAGGGCAGCCACTTAGAGGCGCACGGTATTGCGAATATTGGTTGGCCTGTGGGCAGGGGCTACTACTACTACCACTGCTGCTGCACTTGACCATTGCCGAGTCATAGTGACCTCCAACCTCCCGGTCAAGGGCAAGAGATCAGCACTCGCTTGGTGACAGCTGCACATTAATCTACTAGCGTAGTCTAACTCACTGCATATTGGTCAACTGTAAACAGGCATGCAACTAGGAATTTAGAAAAAAATGAGGAAACTTTCATACCACACAGTATTTGTACAGTATTTTTCAATTTGTAATGGCATCCATGACAAGTAAAAAAAAGTAGGAATTCAGTGGATCTGAGGAGATGTTGCATGCATGTGTACAGATGGGCAAACTCACCTGCACTATTGATCTTGTTGTCAGCTAGGTTTTCCACCAGGCCAAAATCCAGGTTAACAGTAGTTCTTGATGGGATGTTCCAGTCATCTGTGAAGGGAATCATGAAATGCATTGACGACACTCAGAATTATTCATCCTCGGTGCACGCATTGCAACTTCCTTAGCAACATGACAGAAATCGTCTCAATGACTCTATTGTATTTTTCGTAGTGAAATCAGTCTTAGGATGTGTCTTAGCTAAGATTGATCTCAAAGCTGGGACTCGTCTCGAGTCGTAAGATAAGACGATTTTAGTGGAATCAGCTCCAGGAGGTTTCATAAGTAGTCGTCATGTGTCATCTTGTGTTCATGCATGAATCCATTGCGAGAAGGTTGGAGACTTACCGATGTATTGTGAAGTAGTCAGTACTGATGTGATGCCAGTGTCATTTAGAGTTAGCCTGGATCCTTGATGAATCAAATGTGCGTAATACACAGCAAGAACAGTATTCGGCATTGACAGAGTAACACCAAGCTGTAAAAACAAAAACAATCCATGCATTCATTCTTCATTCTTGTCGGAATCGTTGTGAAACACTGGATCAGGTAAAAACATAACATGTGCAAAAGACCAATCCAGTATGCATCACCCCATGGTGTTTCTGAACAATCCCAGTCGTGATTTAAATGTACGTCCAACATGCATGCACAAAAGTCTGACATGTGTTCATGCACATATGACGCGTGCAGTTGGAGCATGCAGTGAGGTACTAGAGAGGGGAGCGTATCAACTGCCCACACATGCGCAGTTACCACGGCTTACTGGATCGATTTATTGTTCAGCAAATTCAATGGATCTATAGACATTCATGAGTTTTAAAAGTTTGATTTACATCACACCAACGCAAAATTCCATCTTATAAACAGTTAATGCAGTACCCGCTGCTATGTGCATCAAATTCGAACCAGCAGACTGATCCAGTTAGCTCGGTGGACGAGTGGTAAGACTTGTGCACTTGTGCACTAGAAGGCAGAAGGTCATGGGTTCGAGTCCCACCTGAGTGAGTTTTCCAACTCACATACGGGAGGTAACACACTAGGTATACAGTGTTTATGCGTCAGTGATGGGCAAAACCTACATGTAGTTTGATTTTTGTTATCAAAACTGAAATACACATAAACAAACATTCATGTAGAATTATGACACCTACCTCGGTGGACGTCTCAGGGAAAGTGATATTGAGAATGTAAGTTGCATTGGATCCTACTGTCATCATGTACATAGTATCATTGGAGCCAAGCAGATCCTGAGGGTATAAGACATATGAAATGCCTGGTAGGGTAAGGGCGGAGCTTAGACCAGCAAGGTAGGGGAGGATCAGTGCTTCAGATCCCTTCCTGAGGAAAGAAAACCGTACAATAATTAACATGATGGAGTCTGCAAAAGATTGCTCTAAGTAAGCATGGTAAGACAGTTGTTCATTATAGTAATTTGGGGCTTTTATTTGCAAATACTCCGTAGACATTTTCAGAGCCAAATGAGGACTTAAACTTGTTAAAGCTTTAGTCCATCCTTTGTAGCTATCCAAATACCCTGTAGGCATGGTAGGAACTGAGGTAATTAGTGTTAAAAAACATACATGGTTGAACAATAGTAAGGGGACTAAACTCCCTGTCAAATTATTCTTTCTGGCATGCTGTCATTTTGAAGAAGTCAATGAAAGAAGGCCTTTCCAAGCCTTTCCAAGGATGCATCTCATTGGAAATTTCCATTAGAAGTTCACTTTTTTTACAGCGAACGCGCACAAGCATTGACTCGGCACACACGTACGCACGGTTGCTTTAAATCATCGATCAGTGCACGACATCGCGTAGCTGCAATGGGCTCAGTGACAACGTGTCTCGGATGCTGAATTCAGGCCCAATTCAAAACATGATTCAGCAACTGTTGATTTGAAATCGAGATGGCCTTTGAGACTGTTGATATGATAGAAAATGCTATATAAGCATTACTTTGCATTATATTTGTATGCATGCAGTTACAGCTGAGATTCACATGTCTCACAATGCTAACTTTCAAATTTAATATGATACACTAACCTGTAAGATAGCCAGACATTACATATGATCTCTTGATGTGTCAGCATAGAGTTATTCCACATCAGGAATGTCTGGTTGCCTCTCAGGTTGACTCCAGGAGATAACATTGGCAGGTGCACATAATACGTTGTCTCACTCGTCCAGCTCAGATCAATGGAGCTATTAGTCGTGGTGTTCATATCTGGTTCAAGGAATACCATCTCAAGGGTATTTGGGACAATTTGAAGTTCTGGACAGGAAACATTCATCCATATATCATTGACATAGAAGTCTAGGACGTGGGATAGATCAAAGGTGTAACGAATAAAATCAGCTGTGTCAGGGGATTGGTTCGGATCAGCAGCAGGGATCAAAGGGATAAAAGGTTGAACAGTGACGGTCAACGTGGGCGTGTTAGTAGTGTGGAAATTACTACGGGAGAACAAGTAGGAGGCTTTGGCTACGATACTCAACTCTTGGTCTGGGACGACGTTGGTTAAAGCACGAGAGTAGAACCAAAACCTGATGATGTCCTTATTATTTTTGGTTTGATCCTGGAGGTTGATGAATGGATCGATATGGAATACCAACTGATCCAGTACACCTAAGGCTGGGTCCGTGGATGAGAAGGACGTTGTGATTCCTGGTGGCATCTCGTCAGCAATCACAGTTTTCACAGTATCTATGGTAACAGCATGACCAGCTTCATCACATGTCTCATTGATCATGGCACCGTGCGTAGTAGTCACTAGGTTAGCTCCAATCACCCACCATGGTGTTTCATTGATGAATGTCATACGCACTTGTCCATCCACTGCAGGGAATGACACGGTGAGTTCTATCCCATGATTCCTTGCCTCTGGGTGTCTCAGGTAGAGTAAATAGAAGACCTGCTCATGTTTCAGGATGTGTTTCTCCTCAGAGAAGGAAGGGTAGGTGTAAAGCTTGATACTAGGCCTCTGGACGGTGTACTCGGTGGTAGCTGAAAATAGCAAACAGTACTCACATTCTATCAACTAGTATACAAATATTGACTGCTTGGAGTGGTGTAGTAAAATTAGCCTCCCGAGGTATCCATTAAGCATTCTATTAGCAAAGCTAAGGGAATATAGAATCCTTTATGGATCATCGAGGGAGGCTAGTTTTACTACACCACAAGTTGAAGCAGTCAAGATTTGTTTTATAGGACCGTACTCACAGATTCTGCTCAATTTTAGTGCAAGCTGATTAATTTAATCTAAATTAAATGAACATGTACTTCTATTTGAAAACAAACTAGTTGAAAATTTACCTGCACTTTTCCAAACTAACCTTTCATGAAATGTTTGAACCCAGCTCTGTGGCACTAGCGCTTGGGAACAATATGCGCAACGCGCAGATTGGTATGCATTTGCACACAACACCCGGATGTTATACATACAGTACTTTGGTTGCTACGGGTATGCCGTGAACAGCAAGATAGCAAAATAGTGAATGCCATGTGACTCGCTCTCGGCCAATCAAGATAATGAATCTGTGGGTGAGGTTTTATAAAAATAGTTATGACAGGAATAATATGACTCAGAGGTCAGAGGTCATCAATGCAACATAGCTGCATTATCATTCTAACCATAATCTCACTGCACCTGTCACCTTACTCTGACAATCAATTAATTAGAGATGGTACCTGTTACTGATGTTAACTGATCAGCAGGTGACCTGGTGGACTGGCTGATGTTTGCTGTAAGCATCAGCTCGAACTTCTGATTGATTTCAACAAAATTGCTCAGTTCACCTACCCAAAACAGAAGACAAAAGACTGAAAAAAGAGCAAATCAGCTGAAACACACAGCTAGAGATAAGGGAAGAAATCACCTGATCAATTTCAATAACTTATGTAACACTTTCAACAATTTCACCCTCTGGGAGGAATTACCTGTAATGAGAACAGTCAAGTTGAAATCTTGCCAATGAATAGGTTCAGGAGGTGGATAATAGAACCCTGTTGTGTTGACATTAATGCATTCCTTGGCATCTGAATACTCTGTGGTGGTTGGCAGATCTCTGTAAGGGTCGTAAGTAGGTGCAGGAGTTGGGGGACCTGGTTGTAGTTTCATCAGCACAGTGTGGCAGTTACGCTCTGAATCTTGACTGATCATTTCGTCCACATTGTAGATGGTACCATTGTGGTCTTCCTCATACACTGATAGAGAGGATGAGAGAAGTATTATTATCATCATAAGTTTAACAATACAATGCAAACACAAGGATCTCTATTATAGTTTGAATTGACGACAATCACAAGTAATGTCACAAGTCATCACAAGTGAAGTCACACACATCAAGTCACAAGTCATCTTACGTAAAGCTACAAGTCATCTTACGTAAAGTCACAAGCCATTACAAGTGAAGTCACAAGCCATTACAAGTGAAGTCACAAGCCATTACAAGTGAAGTCACAAGCCATAACAAGTGAAGTCACAAGCCATAACAAGTAAAGTCACAAGCCATAACAAGTGAAGTCACAAGCCATAACAAGTGAAGTCACAAGCCATTACAAGTGAAGTCACAAGCCATAACAAGTGAAGTCACAAGCCATAACAAGTGAAGTCACAAGCCATTACAAGTGAAGTCGCAAGCCATTACAAGTGAAGTCACAAGTCTATCAACAATAAATCACAATACAAATCAAAAGGAAGGTTACAAGAAATAGGAAATAAACAAGGAAGAACAAATTTCCTGGTCCACGTAAATCGTAACTTCTCATTTACTTGAGGCTGGATGTCTTCCGTATGGTTTGTGACCAGCAGATTTTAATAAGGGGCGGACTGCAATAAACAGTCTTCAAGTTGTGTATGTGCGTTAGCTGGTCTTAGAGCTCGGGCCGTTAATCAATCTATGAGATAGACCATTGCAATGACACGGTCTCAGTGTTAAGACAGTCTTGTAATAGTTAGCCTGGGTTAGGCTGGTTTAAAGAGGTCTATAGTGGAGATTTTCTTTTCATTCTGGTTAAAATAATATTTCGTTAATACAGTAAGTGTTTGATAATTTAAATACATGTAGCAGAACACTGCTTGGAGAGAGTACATGTAGTTTGCCAAGATGGAAGTAATCTTCTAGAGACATAAAATGACTCTCAATTATAGTGCAAGTATAATTTCTCAACACAAAATCCCATAAATTACTGATTGGATTTTGCATAATGTGAATCAGACAACCGAAAAATTGGTGTGAGCACCATGGCCAACGTTTGTTTGTGAATTATTCGTAAAAATTGGCTTATCCCTTTGGCCTAAGTTTGGTGTCTAAACCAAGACCGTCTAAGACCGACAGCCAGCTATAATCGGACATGTTAAGCCAGCCGGCTAAGACTGATAGCCAGCTATAATCGGACCAGTTAAGCCAGCTGGCTAAGACTGATAGCCAGCTATAATCGGACTAGTTACCCAGCCGGCTAAGACTGATAGCCAGCGTTAACCGGACCAGTTAAGCCAGCCGGCTAAGACTGATAGCCAGCTATAATCAGACCAGTTAAGCCAGCTGGCTAAGACTGATAGCCAGCTATAATAGGACCAGTTAAGCCAGCTGGCTAAGACTGATAGCCAGCTATAATCGGACTAGTTACCCAGCCGGCTAAGACTGATAGCCAGCGTTAACCGGACCAGTTAAGCCAGCCGGCTAAGACTGATAGCCAGCTATAATCGGACCAGTTAAGCCAGCTGGCTAAGACTGATAGCCAGCTATAATCGGACCAGTTAAGCCAGCTGGCTAAGACTGATAGCCAGCTATAATCGGACTAGTTACCCAGCCGGCTAAGACTGATAGCCAGCGTTAATCGGACCAGTTAAGCCAGCCGGCTAAGACTGATAGCCAGCTATAATCGGACCAGTTAAGCCAGCTGGCTAAGACTGATAGCCAGCTATAATCGGACTAGTTACCCAGCCGGCTAAGACTGATAGCCAGCGTTAACCGGACCAGTTAAGCCAGCCGGCTAAGACTGATAGCCAGCTATAATCAGACCAGTTAAGCCAGCTGGCTAAGACTGATAGCCAGCTATAATCGGACTAGTTACCCAGCCGGCTAAGACTGATAGCCAGCGTTAATCGGACCAGTTAAGCCAGCCGGCTAAGACTGATAGCCAGCTATAATCAGACCAGTTAAGCCAGCTGGCTAAGACTGATAGCCAGCTATAATCGGACTAGTTACCCAGCCGGCTAAGACTGATAGCCAGCGTTAATCGGACCAGTTAAGCCAGCCGGCTAAGACTGATAGCCAGCTATAATCGGACCAGTTAAGCCAGCTGGCTAAGACTGATAGCCAGCTATAATCGGACTAGTTACCCAGCCGGCTAAGACTGATAGCCAGCGTTAACCGGACCAGTTAAGCCAGCCGGCTAAGACTGATAGCCAGCTATAACAGACCAGTTAAGCCAGCTGGCTAAGACTGATAGCCAGCTATAATCGGACTAGTTACCCAGCCGGCTAAGACTGATAGCCAGCGTTAATCGGACCAGTTAAGCCAGCCGGCTAAGACTGATAGCCAGCTATAATCGGACCAGTTAAGCCAGCTGGCTAAGACTGATAGCCAGCTATAATCGGACCAGTTAAGCCAGCCGGCGAAGACTGATAGCCAGCTATAATAGGACCAGTTAAGCCAGCCGGCTAAGACTGATAGCCAGCTATAATAGGACCAGTTAATCCAGCCGGGTAAGACTGATAGCCAGCTATAATAGGACCAGTTAAGCCAGCCGGGTAAGACTGATAGCCAGCTATAATAGGACCAGTTAAGCCAGCCGGCTAAGACTGATAGCCAGCTATAATCGGACCAGTTAAGCCAGCCGGCGAAGACTGATAGCCAGCTATAATAGGACCAGTTAAGCCAGCCGGCTAAGACTGATAGCCAGCTATAATAGGACCAGTTAAGCCAGCCGGGTAAGACTGATAGCCAGCTATAATAGGACCAGTTAAGCCAGCCGGGTAAGACTGATAGCCAGCTATAATAGGACCAGTTAAGCCAGCCGGCTAAGACTGATAGCCAGCTATAATCGGACTAGTTACCCAGCCGGCTAAGACTGATAGCCAGCGTTAATCGGACCAGTTAAGCCAGCCGGCTAAGACTGATAGCCAGCTATAATTGGACCAGTTAAGCCAGCCGGCGAAGACTGATAGCCAGCTATAATAGGACCAGTTAAGCCAGCCGGCTAAGACTGATAGCCAGCTATAATAGGACCAGTTAAGCCAGCTGGCTAAGACTGATAGCCAGCTATAATCAGACCAGTTAAGCCAGCCGGCTAAGACTGATAGCCAGCTATAATCGGACCAGTTAAGCCAGCCGGGTAAGACTGATAGCCAGCTATAATAGGACCAGTTAAGCCAGCCGGGTAAGACTGATAGCCAGCTATAATAGGACCAGTTAAGCCAGCCGGGTAAGACTGATAGCCAGCTATAATAGGACCAGTTAAGCCAGCCGGCTAAGACTGATAGCCAGCTATAATCGGACCAGTTAAGCCAGCCGGCTAAGACTGATAGCCAGCTATAATCGGACCAGTTAAGCCAGCCGGCGAAGACTGATAGCCAGCTATAATAGGACCAGTTAAGCCAGCCGGCTAAGACTGATAGCCAGCTATAATAGGACCAGTTAAGCCAGCCGGGTAAGACTGATAGCCAGCTATAATAGGACCAGTTAAGCCAGCCGGGTAAGACTGATAGCCAGCTATAATAGGACCAGTTAAGCCAGCCGGCTAAGACTGATAGCCAGCTATAATCGGACCAGTTAAGCCAGCCGGCGAAGACTGATAGCCAGCTATAATAGGACCAGTTAAGCCAGCCGGGTAAGACTGATAGCCAGCTATAATAGGACCAGTTAAGCCAGCCGGGTAAGACTGATAGCCAGCTATAATAAGACCAGTTAAGCCAGCCGGCTAAGACTGATAGCCAGCTATAATAGGACCAGTTAAGCCAGCCGGGTAAGACTGATAGCCAGCTATAATCGGACCAGTTAAGCCAGCCGGCGAAGACTGATAGCCAGCTATAATAGGACCAGTTAAGCCAGCCGGCTAAGACTGATAGCCAGCTATAATAGGACCAGTTAAGCCAGCCGGGTAAGACTGATAGCCAGCTATAATAGGACCAGTTAAGCCAGCCGGGTAAGACTGATAGCCAGCTATAATAGGACCAGTTAAGCCAGCCGGCTAAGACTGATAGCCAGCTATAATCGGACCAGTTAAGCCAGCCGGCGAAGACTGATAGCCAGCTATAATAGGACCAGTTAAGCCAGCCGGGTAAGACTGATAGCCAGCTATAATAGGACCAGTTAAGCCAGCCGGGTAAGACTGATAGCCAGCTATAATAAGACCAGTTAAGCCAGCCGGCTAAGACTGATAGCCAGCTATAATAGGACCAGTTAAGCCAGCCGGGTAAGACTGATAGCCAGCTATAATCGGACCAGTTAAGCCAGCCGGCGAAGACTGATAGCCAGCTATAATAGGACCAGTTAAGCCAGCCGGCTAAGACTGATAGCCAGCTATAATAGGACCAGTTAAGCCAGCCGGGTAAGACTGATAGCCAGCTATAATAAGACCAGTTAAGCCAGCCGGCTAAGACTGATAGCCAGCTATAATAGGACCAGTTAAGCCAGCCGGGTAAGACTGATAGCCAGCTATAATCGGACCAGTTAAGCCAGCCGGCGAAGACTGATAGCCAGCTATAATAGGACCAGTTAAGCCAGCCGGCTAAGACTGATAGCCAGCTATAATAGGACCAGTTAAGCCAGCCGGGTAAGACTGATAGCCAGCTATAATAGGACCAGTTAAGCCAGCCGGCTAAGACTGATAGCCAGCTATAATAGGACCAGTTAAGCCAGCCGGGTAAGACTGATAGCCAGCTATAATAGGACCAGTTAAGCCAGCCGGGTAAGACTGATAGCCAGCTATAATCAGACCAGTTAAGCCAGCCGGCTAAGACTGTGGTATTGCAATCCACCCCGGATCTCCCTCTCCCACAGACTAATAAACTCAAATCACGATTCTTGTCTCTATGAAATGCTTAGCATTTCAGATGGCACACAAAAAAAAACTTACTAAAAATCTCTGAAGTGGTTAAACCACACAGTTCCTTCTCAAAGCTGGTCACAACTGGCGCTTTGGTGGGCACCGTCCAATCATACTGGCCAAAGTACAACCCTCTATCATTGATCTGAATACAGGAAGTATTAGGTTGGATGGGACACAGAAACTCGCTAGGGTCTTCAGCTGAGGTATTGATGAGACGAGTGCGACACTCGTTTGGATGAAGGAAGAAGCACTCGGAGGTTGTGTTGTGAGGGAGACATTGAGAGATGTTGAATTGGTAGCAAGATGTAGGATCCCAGTTCTGCTCTACTGAGGCATCATACAAGATGCAATCTGATGAGATACAACAAACAACAGTTATTTCATAGAGACTTAGATGTCATTTAGTCCATTCTCAATCACTGATGGGTGCACACCAGTAAATAGGCCTAAACCCATCCGCCGAGCTCATGAATAAAAGTTATACCCTCAAAATATTATATACATGTATTAGAGAGTTCCGAGAGCCATAAATTTGGGGAATTAAAGAGATATGGCAATGAACCCGGACTTGGGGCTTCCAATTCTGAGCATTTCGGATGAAGTTGACCTCGAAAGTGGTGCTATTTTGCCATGTTGTGGAGGGATTGTTTTTCAAGGAGGCTAGTTTTCGGCTTTGAGAAAAATAGGGGTCTCTGCTTTGGGTGAAAAATTTCTTGAAATGTCAATGGTCAACCCACCAAAAACATTAAAAGAAAATGAAAGATGACATGTTGATCACCATTTTTCTGTGCAACTTAAATACCTGTGAGAGTTCTGAGTATTTTTAAAAGAATTTTGAAGTATGGGCATTTAGCACTGGCATATATGGGAAGTTTAATAAGTCATAATTATCAGTTGATACTTTTTTTTTACCAGCACTGGGAAAGGTCTATCAGAGCTTTGGGTATCAGAGCTTTTGGTAACCATTCGGTTGCCTTTTTCAATGTGACGCTATTGTCCAGTCTCTTTTTGATTACGAGGCAGTAAGCTAGATCACCTCGTAAAACCGGCGCAAACTAGTGAGCCTGGTCACGGTTCATTGACGGCTTATGGTAGCGGAGGCACACTTCTTATCATGGAAGACATGGATGGCAATCCGCCACCATAAGCCGCAATCGAAAAGAGAATGGACAATAGCGACTCATTGAAAAAAGGCAACCGGATGGTTACCAAAAGCTCTGATACCCAAAGCTCTGATAGACCTTTCCCAGTGCTGGTAAAAAAAAAGTATCAACTGATAATTATGACTTATTCCTAGCAAAGGAATCTTCATGCTATTAAAACAACAATAACAGTTATTTCAAATCAGTAGACTAAGACGTAATTCAGACAAATCTCAATCATCGCTTAGCTTTACCACAGTGGGCACCATAGCCCTCAGTGAAAGCATCCGCACGAAATGAAAGGCTTGTACGCACCTTGATAGGTTGTCTGATAACATTGTTTACCAGGTGTCCACCAGCAATCCGGTAAGCTCCATGGTTTGGTTAAGTTGATCCACAAAGGCTCAGAAATATCCACAGTTAGTTGAATCTAGAACATGTAACATTATACAATGGCACGCCAGAATAAATGAAAACCATGAAAAGTCTTGATTGGTTGTTAAGTTCTAACAAAAGATTTTAACCCATTGACATGTACTATACAAGTATTACATTGTGGTTATTCACAAAAGAATCACTTAAACCATAGGGTACTCCGGGGGTTTCGGGCGCAAAGTTTTTCTGCTGTATAGAAGTAAAGGAGATTGTAAATAGTGAATATGCAGAGCAAATGATCAACCTGCTACACAAACCTTGCTTTCGTTTTCCAGCCAAGTGACATCAATGGGAGCAATCTCTGTTCCATTTATGATCCCAAATGTGTGACTGGCAAGCGTGATGTTGACAGAGTCTTTGTGAAAAGTCAGGAATGGAAAGTCAACCTGGAAAAATTAACAAAGCACTTTTCATGTGTGTGTGTTATTGGTGATAAATAAACGCATGCGATGAGGTGTTGCGACAAAATGAGACCGAACAAAGAGGCTTTAACTCAAAAATAAACCTCATCTCCCATCACACGCCACCACAAGTGCTGTAGTCTTTAATTAAGAAGTTAGCACTCAATTGGAAGAAGAAGAAGAACTGGGCACAGGCCGTAGTGGAGGGGGTTAGGGTTTTCATCTTCATTTGTAACCTTTGATATGTCTACTACACATAATATCTTAAAGAAATAATATAAAACAATTATGGAATAAAAGTGTTTTAGGGGGAAAAAAGGGGCATCTGTCTTTTTCACAAACACAAAACTTGAAATTTTAAAGGTCTTTTCTCAGTGAAGGGCAAAACCTAATTTGGTCTTTTCTCAGTGTTTTACTTTTTGGACGTGTCAGTAAAAGTGAACTTTAGACAGCCCTATTTTGTCAATGGAATGTCCTGATGACCCACTGCAACAAGGTGCTACAGACTTGTACACCTGGTGCACTCTGCACATGAAGACTATACAAGGAGCCTTACCTGAAAGGTAACATTGATTGCAGTGTGTTCTGGTTGCACTCTGTGATAAAGAAGCCAATTATAGGTCAGTATACTCCCTCCATCGATTTGATGAGGAGTAGACTTACCACTCACCCAGAAATCAAGCTGTTTGACAAATGACAACGCATGTCGAGAAATAATTTAGCACAAACTATAATTTGAATAGCAGTCAACAAGGAAACTTCATTATAGATAGCGCCAAATAAAGTACCGGTACCTCAATGCAGCACACTAATAAAGCATGGCAATACTGATGTTGCTGAGACTAATTAGCCTTCACACTGATCTGGCACAAACTGTCAAAAAATCTATCCACTTCCTCTCCCATAGCATACATGTATGTACAGGCTGGTCACCAACTGCCAGAACCCCCATGGATTAAATCACATCTGTTGCAGGTGTTTGATAGATGGGTCATTCCAGTGCATAACAGTAACATAGCATGGGTAACAGTGCATTTTACATCGATCCATATATTTGGTGATATTATTAAAAGTATCAATGCATTCTAAACAATTGCTCAACATAAATATGTCTCTTAGGGTGTTTCAATACTTGTGAAAATTTGAAATCATTTGAAAGTATTCTGACAAAAATATGAGCACAAATGTATTAATTTGAACGTAACATTGACACCGTGTTAATGTTACATCCAAATATTCTTTTTTTGCCATTTTTTACACATATGTAAAATATTACCCAAACTGACATTGCGTTATACAACTGGACACCTACATGTAAGCACCAAGAAAAGCTTTTGTTTTGGTATAGTCAGGGTTCAAATATAGTAGAAACAATTATACCTCACACAACCAAGCTATCATTTCTGCTCCATTTGATACATGACTACCATAACAAAAGCTTTTCATATTGTGTTGCATGTAAAGTTAGAAGTATGCAAAGTGAATTTGGGTAATGTTTGGCAGAAATTTAAAAAAAAAGTACAAATGTCATATTTGGACGTAACACTGACATGGTGTCAATGTTACGTCCTAATTGACATTTTTTGCTCATATTTTTGGCAAATACAATTAAATGATTTCAAACTTTCTACAGTAGTGAAATACCCAACAACAAACATTATGTAGAGCAACTGCACTAGCAAGGCATTCATGTTTTTCTTAATATTGTCATATGTCACACATTGTTCCCCAACCCGGTGGAATGATACAGATACATTTAGGGTGGCCTTGAATACTGCTACAACTTGCATAGCAGCCATCTAAGAGGGCAATGTCTTTGTTTGGCTGGAATGCATGAGTGAACCTTATGTACGTTCATTGTTACTGAGCTAAACCCATCATTGACGGGCATTCACCAGCGCTGACCCACCATCAATGTCCGTCAAGGCATGGTACCCTCATATCACAGCCCGTCAATTGTACCCATAATGAGCCCAATTTACAGAATGGTGAAAACCTGTCAACTAATAGATTTGGACAGACAGGGAATCTCTCTCCAATTTGCCACTGAGAGAGGGAGGGCTACATGTAATAGTGCATTTCGGAGGGTGGAAGGGAGGGGGGGGGTGGGGACTTGGAAGCACACTGTCTCTAAAAACTGTCTCTATTTAATCTACAAACGCATTTATGAAAGAAATGGACAGCCAACTAGTGGATGAAGAATTCCAACAAGCAATTTTCCATATTGTAGACAGGTTGAGAACTCACCAAAGGAACTGGAAAATTTTCTCCGTCTGTGACTGTGTCCTCATCTTCAACTGACATCAAGTGTCTAGAAGTATGCCAGATATGATCATCCTTCTCAACAATCCCACCTGTTCAGAATGAGATACACAAATACATTAATGTCTGAATCACACCACATCATTTAAACATCAATGTCTGAAGGCTGCTTGACTCAACAGAATCAATCAAAACATGTGTGAGGTGTGTATAAACTCTCCAGAAAAACAATAGCAGACACTAATGAATACAACAGATTCAACCAGTGGCAAAGTACAAGGCTAAATAAAACTAAACAACCAATCCAATGCACAGTATCAATCCTACAGTGCATACATGCAAACAGTCCCTATTTAATAGGATAAGTTTTCAGACTGAAAAAAAAAGATCACAATGTTCTGAGTTCTGTGAAATATGGGAGGAACAGTTTTTGTCCATTTCATATTCACCATAGGGATGCACCCTGCAGCATTAAAATTCCCATAGACACCAGTGCTAAATGCCCATACTTCAAAAATTCTTTTAAAAATACTCAGAACTCTCACAGTTATTTAAGCTGCACAGAAAAATGGGGATCAACATGCCATCTTTCATTTTCTTTTTTTGGTGGGTTGACTATTGACTTTTTGAGAAACTTTTGCCCAAAGAAGACGACTTCTATTTTTCCCAAAGCGAAAAAGTAAGCATCTTGAAAAACAATCCCCTCCACAACATGGCAAAATAGTATCACTTTCAAGCAAAATTGCATAGCCCTGAACTGCTCAAAATTGGAAGAACTTTATAAAATTTTGAGGGTATAACTTTTATTCATGAGCTCGGCGGATGGGTTTAGGCCTATTTACTGGTGTGCACACACCCATAGATAATGAGGAAAAATACCATAAAAGTACCCAACCGCTAATGCCAGGAACCGGTTCCAGATTATGGGGTCGGGCACCCGTAACCAACTTTACAAATTACATAATATTTAATATTACTTCTCAGACTCAGACTATTAAAAAGACAAATTTTGCATGGCATTTGTTTGGAATTTTCAAAATGAACACAAGGCTACATATTAGAAAAACTATACACACTTCATGCTTTTCATTTGCTTTTGGGCATTTTAAAGTTGCCAATCCTTGTTCCACCATTCGATAGTGTCCCTATTTCAGGCTTTCAAATGCTGGCAGGTTCATGTACATACAGGTATACTAGGTATGTTAACGCACCAGAACCACCAACAGCAAAGAACTCTGCTTTCTCAAAAGTTTCAACAACAATAAACCAAATTGAAATGAAATCCACAAATTTTGCTAGATTAATTAGAATTACAGATCCTAGACAAGTTATTCCTGAGCTCTGTACCTAGCACAGTGTGAAGAAGTCCCGCACCAACAATGCCAAGTAGAAGACTGAGCGTGCCACCTGTCATTGTCACTGTCAATAGCATCAAATTGTCGTCATCTCTTGGTGACATTCACTGCAGTACATCATGATCAATGGTTACTGCAGTACTGGTACGCTTTACACACAGCTACTGAAAAGTAATCACAATTAAAATTTAAAGGAACTGTTGAACTTAGTCATGTTGGTCATGATGACTCCTTTTTTTTCTTCTTCCAATTTTGACTATGGTCTAGACTTGTGGACAAGTCGTTAGACACTGTTGTGTTTTGTCCGACGGGGCCCCAATAAGTATATCATATTTCCATCTGGCATACATATCCGACAGGTCTAACGACTTGACTAATATGAATTGGGACAGTTATTCATTTATGCGCTCAGCGAAATGCACATGCATTACATATAAGTTTACATAGAGAAGGCCAATGATAATCTGGCTGTATTGCTTTAAATACAGGGGTGTAGGGGGCTCTGGATAGAGATAGTACCTTTGCTGTCTGTCAGCTGCACTCTCTTGGTAGAGTGGACAGGCATCACTGGTTCTCATCCATCTCCTAAATCTCTCACGTGCTGGCTCCAAGTGCCACACCCCGGTATACCGCTTCAGCTGGCGGGCGAAACCACGTGAGAGGGTGGTATCTACACTGCACCACTGGGCGGATGAGCTACATCAGACAGCCAACGACCAGGGCGGAGGAGGTCAACGTCTGACCCAACGGCCACGTGTAAAGGAGTAAACCTTCCAAATCAGGAGTGGAGCCCCGAAGGCGGAATGGTGCCTTGCAAACACCGTTTCGGCAGCTCCTGCAGCCAAGCTGGTGCCAAACGTCATGCTCGCATTCCTTTGGAACCCATCAGCAAGGCCGAGAGGGGGATTCTGACGCATGGGCAACCCAGGATCTCCGTACTTCTCCAGACACAGTGTGGCTTCAGGGCAGCAAGATCCACGGTGGACATGATCTTCACCCTTCGACAACTGCAGGAGAAATGCCGTGAACAGAGGAGACCTTTGTATCTCGCTTTCGTCGACCTCACAAAGGCCTTCGACCTTGTTAGCAGAGATGGTCTCTTCAAGCTGCTTGCAAAGATTGGTTGCCCTCCAAAACTTCTCAGCATCGTGACATCATTTCACAACAACATGCAGGGTTCAGTCTGTTGTGATGGAGAAACTTCAGAGGCCTTCCCAATCCGCAGCGGAGTGAAGCAGGGCTGTGTTCTTGCACCGACCCTCTTCGGGATTTTCTTCTCTCTCCTGCTGTCGTTTGCATTTGGCTCATCCCCTGAAGGCGTCTACCTACACTCAAGAGCTGATGGCAAACTCTTCAACCTTGCCCGCCTAAGGTCCAAGACGAAAGTGACCAGTGTACTCCTGAGGGAAATGCTATTTGCAGATGATGCAGCTCTAGCATCACACACAGAGACAGGGCTCCAGCAGTTGGTGGACAGGCTCTCTTATGCATGCAAGGAGTTCGCCCTTACCATCAGCATTAAGAAGACCCATGTCATGGGCCAAGAAGTCGAAACCCCACCCTCCATCTCTATTGACAACAAGACCCTAGACTGTGTGGGCACCTTCACTTACCTCGGATCAACAGTCGCCAGCAACCTGTCACTTGACGCAGAACTGAGCACCCGTCTTGCCAGGGCCGCCACAGTGATGGCCAGGCTGGCAAAGAGAGTGTGGTCTAACAAGAACCTAACTGTGTGCACAAAACTCCAGGTCTACCAAGCATGCGTCATCAGCACTCTGCTATACAGCAGTGAGGCCTGGACCACCTACACCAGACAAGAAAAACGGCTGAACAGCTTCCACCTGCGCTGCCTACGCCGCATCCTTGGCATCAAATGGCAGGACAAAGTCCCCAACACGGAAGTCTTGGAACGTGCCCACTCCACCAGCATGTTCGCCATGTTGAGCCAGCGCCGCCTCAGATGGCTCGGTCACGTCCACAGGATGGACTCCGGTCGTCTTCCAAGGGCCATCCTGTATGGCGAGCTATCGTCAGGCTCCAGGCCAATTGGTCATCCGAACCTACGATTCAAGGACGACTGTAAACGCGACATGAGGCAGGCTGGCATAGACCCCAACAGCTGGGAGGAAGCCGCCCAGGATCGCAGTGCTTGGAGACAGACAGTTGCCGCAGGGATCCACCGCGCTGAGGAGAGGCGCACCTCCTTGCTGCAGGAGAAGAGGCAGAGGAGGAAATTGCGAGTAGCAGCCCCCACCCCTGAGTCAGTCCCCTCTCCTTTCGTCTGCGCTAATTGCGGCAGAGACTGTCATGCAAGAATTGGACTGCTCAGCCACAGCCGCCGCTGCAACAAAGACGACAATCCCCCGGGCGCAGTCCATCGTCAGTATTGACGGACGGATGCCTACTACTACTGCTTTAAAGTGATAGAAAATTAATCCCCCTTTTTCAGACATCTATTTTTCGTGTAATTTCCTGTTGGAATTTAGGTAAGCTAACGTGTGCATCTGAAAATTACACAAATATAGACGTCTGAAAAAGGGGGGATTAATTTTCTATCGCTTTAATTTAAAGAGGGTGAGTGTGCTTCTAAAGCATAAATAAACTACACACAAAGTCTAAACGTGAAAATAAAAACTTGACAAAGTTCTACATTTTCGGGTACATGTTCCAAGTGTGGCCTTTATTTATGAAGGTAGGCCCTACATGTAGTCCAGTAAATTGGCCACATTTATGGGGCTAAAAACTTTGTACACAACCGGTGAAGTGGCGTTAGGTTGCAACATTCTTTCCTTACTATTAGGCATTGCTATGTCATAGATAAAGGGCAGGGTTTTGAATTTTTGAGGGAAATTTGGAGGTACAGTAAAATGACGATGACAACGACAAAACGCAACACGAAAATAAAGATTGTGAATGTGATCACCGCGCGAAGTACCATGTGACATGTGTACCGTGAAGGCGTGATTATGACCACGCAAATCCCACAACACGGCACCAACTAGTCCCATTAATGTGAGGGTAATACTGGACTAGGCCTACCTCCGTATAGGTAGGCTTGGTCCAGTACTATTACCGCCACATTTATGGGACTATGCACCGACCGGCCCGGCATAAACACTGATATAAATGTTGTGCCCATTCTTGAAAATCACGCATTCTCGAGAATGGGCATGCACATTCTTGAGAATGTGCAACTGGATCCTTGCTCAATCTTGCAAAAAATAACTCTTCCAGATTGAGCGCACATTCTCGAGAATGCGCGACAAGATAACGGTCTTGTCGATGCCGAGCACCGGCTGCGCTTGGCAAGTCTAGCTGAATCCTCGTTCACTGATTCTCAATAATTATACTGTTGCAACGCAAGGCGCTGAAAAGTAGAGTGGATATGATAAGTAAAGGCGTATTAATATGGGGGGGGGGGACCGGGAAAATATAAGAGACATAATAATACTAGTGCAAAGAATTCTGATTTTTGGGATAATAAAAGCGGGGAGGGGGGACGTAAGAATGAAGAATGTGAAGAATGAGAATGAATACTGCGACATCCCATAGTGCTAATGCTATTTCCCATTTAAATTGCCACCAATTTATTGTTCACATCCCATCCCACCATAACATCGCAGAGCTGGATTCTATCTAGTCAAAAGAGCAATTTTGGCAGCTTCTGGACATCGTTTTTTTTTTCGTGGCACGCATATGATACATGCAGGGACTTGTAACTTGTCTAGCCTAACAAAGCACTTCCCAGACTAGTTCCCAGTCCTCCGTTATTACAAAACTTCCCATAGTGGGCAGAAAAAAGCAATAATAACAGGTTTAATTTGATTCAAATTATCGTAGTTATACGAGTACAGAAGCATAGCACATTTTCTTTCCTCTTTATATGAATTGTTTCCCTTTTAACCGCTATACAATTCATTTAACATAATTATGTCGTGCAATGTTTGTTAAGATTGGGCAAAATTCATAAATTGTGCACGTGATATTCCCACCCAATCTTAAGAATGAGCGCTCATTCTTAAGAACGCGTGCTCGTTCTTAAGAATGGGTGCTCATTCTTAAGAATGCGCGCCCATTCTCGAGAATGTGCATGCCCATTCTCGAGAATGCGTGATTTTCAAGAATGGGCACAACATAAATAAAACGGCGTAGGACATGATGTGGGGGGTGTTTGTAGGACTAGGAAAATCGTAATTTCTACCCCAAGAAATACAGTTCAAAAATTACCAAACATGCCAAAAAGGTGTCATTACATTGAGAGAAGTCTGCTTTCAGGCTTTAGGTTGACAATGTCATTTTTTAGAAATAAAGAAATTCTTGATTCTAATTTGATCGAAACAAAACAGGGGCCCTCCACACGATCACCCTACCCTACCGTCATGACCGTCTGACCGTATGTAAACGCTAGCCTGCGTTATTTTTATAGCCCTTTTTCCGACAGGGCAAACATGGCAAGCCAAACATGCCACAGCGAGCGCTCGCGTGTAGTGTGTCGAGCGCTCCTGCATTGTTTACTTCTTTTCGAAACAGACTCCGGATGAGGTTCAGTTGGAAACAACTTTAGTCCCTACTTCACTACTTGTTTGACGCACGTCGCCACGGACGAAGCAGATTGACGACCAGGACGACCGCGTTCAAAATTGACGCCTTCTTCTCGCCGCGTCTTCTCGCCGCAGCTGTAGCCTGCTGGCCCCTAGGATGACCGTAAGGTCATGGCAAAATTCTGCTAAATGCGCTTCAAAAATCTGTCAGATTTATCAAAAATCTGCCAAATTCCCCAGATTTCCTCGAAATTACAATTATTATTATTATTATCATTAATATTATTATTATGGTTTATTTATTTGAATTAAAAGCAGCCCACAGGCTGAAAACATTCACATTTACAACGGTTATTTTAGTTATACATCTTTAAATTGTAAATTATACGGGTACAAATCATAACGGGAGAAATTATTCATTATCATTAACAGACTTCTAAGACTTGCAGAGGCTATACTAATTATTGGCAGATTACTAAAGACTTGCTAAGCTAGACAAGAAATTGATAATTAAAATTGGAGTGAAACATTATTTAAAATTATCATTAAAATAGACGTGGATCACAGAGGCATATTACACTTATTATTTTAAAATTCTGGCCAGTGATGGGATTGTAGCTTTCTTGTACCGCTCAGTACGTGTTACATCTGGGTATGACAAGACCAGAAACGGTTGTGGACACAAAAACCCTTAAAATCACATGCAGATTTGCAGTACTGCCTTAATTAAGGTTCAAATGACATTATTAACAATTTATAGTCACATACATGACATAAAGAAGTAGTAAGGGAGGCGGGGGTGCTGGACTTTATCATAGGTCTGTGGGTAGTACAGAGCCATTAATGAGAAGTCAGGGTACCAGACTTTGTCATAGGTCTGTGGGTAGTACAGGGCCAATGGGAAATCCCCCGATCTCAAGAAAAAAAAATATAAAAAATAAATCTAACGGAGAGAGAGTGAGAGAGAAAAATCTGTCGTCGCTAAAATGAGGGGAGTCTAATTATTTATAAATCTAAAAGTCTAACCTAAAAAAAATGAAGAAAAAATATTATATTTCCTATAATAAATGGAGGGTAATATGTTTAGACCAACCATCAAAGGATATTCTAAATGGAACAAAGCCACGCTGCGTGATTATGTGCAGCGGTATAATATACCGCACAATGAAAATGTTTCTCTTACTCGTAAAGTTTACATCGAGGGGATAAAACATTATGAAAGTCAATTTAAAAACTTGAGGAAAAAGACACTACATGAGCTCAAACAGATTGTAGACGAACACAATCTAGAATACGTACCGACGGGTTATAAAGGACGAGTTTTGAAAAAAAGATTTAATCTCAACGATTAAAACATACAGACAACCCGAATACTTTACAGAGTCAGATTTTAGAGAAACGAGAAGGTTTAGAAATTACTACAGAAACTGGGAATTAAACCCCAGACTTTATAACCACGATTTAATCAAGTTTTTTGATTCACACAAGGAACAAATAGTCAATAAAATCAAGTTAGAATTGAGAGAGTTGGGAGGTTTAAAAATGGAGCTCACAATCAAAATAAAATACGAAAAAACCAAAACGGATGGTACGATCGAAACGATCGAAGCTATTCATTATAGCAAGCCGAAAGCTGTTTTAAATCAAAGTCAAATAAAACAGGTTTTAAGAGAAGAGATCGACGAGCTATTTAAAAAGGATGAAAGGTATACGAATCAAGGATCGGGTTGGGTTTTAAAAAAGATAATGGTGTTATACATCAACATCAACAGATATAATCCAGTGAGAGGTAGTTCCTACATAGACCTACCCGAATATCTTAAAATTAAGAAGGCGATGATCAACATCAAAAACAAAGACGACGAGTGTTTGAGATGGTGTTTGAGAGCTGCTCTTGAGTTGTATACGGATAAAGTAAAAAATCAAATAAGAAATAATCCTAATTATAAAATTCATAAAGAAGAACCTGTTGTATACACCAAAGACGACGGACTCAGTTTTAAAGGTGTTGACTTTCCAACACCACTCGATCAGATAGCCAAGATAGAAAGACAAAATAATTTATCGATAAACGTATATGGTTATGAGGGTGAGATATATCCATTATACGTGTCTAAAAACTACAAGGGGAAAGAGATCGATCTGCTTTTGATTTCTAAAGGTGACAAGCATCACTATTGTTGGATAAAAGATTTTACGAGGTTGATATACGACGTTACGAAACATAAATGTAAGAAATATTTTTGTCGAAGATGTCTTTGTCATTTTACCAATCAAAACAAATTAGACAAACATATCACCGATTGTAAGGGTATAGATACACATCCATCAAAGATTGTATTTCCTCTGGGTAAACCAAAATACATAGACGGGCAACCAAATGAAGAGAGAGACGTACCGATATTAGAATTTAAAAACTATAGGCACAAACAAAAAGCACCATTTGTCATTTATGCCGACTTTGAATCCATATTACAGACAACAACATCCACAGATAAAGAGACAAACACAAAAAAGATTAACGTTCACAAAGCTAGCGGTTATTCGCTAGTTGTCGTCCGATGTGACGGTAAAAATGTATATCAAGAGACTTATAGAGGCAAAGACGCTTCAACTAGATTTATAACGACGTTGTTACAATTACAAAGCGATATTAATTGTCTATTTGAAAACCCCCAACCCATGAAATTTAACGAGCGAGCTAAAGAACATCACGATAAAACAAACGCGTGTTGGATTTGCGAAAAACCAATTTATCCCAATTACTCGAGCAACTGTCAGTGCCAGAAACCCAGGGAACCCAAGACGATAAAACAAATAAAAGAATATCAGTGCAAAAACAAAAAGGG